GCAAACATTGAAGGAAAAATGCAGAGAAATGCCAGGAGCACATGAAAACAGCTTTCGAAAAATCTTTGCGAGTCGATACTCTATCTCTCTCGAAGAGTTTGGAGCTTTTCATTTTGTGAAGCGAATGTTTTTCTGGGTTTTGTTCTTCTTGGGAGTTTGCTTGCTTGGAGGAGTGAATCGGGAGCTACTGGGAGGACGAAGAAGTCGAAGTTCGAAGGTGGCCGGTTGGACGATCTTGCTTTGGGATATTGGAAGCAGATATAGAGAGGAGAGGAGTTTCTGACTAGATTGTGCTCGGTCAAAATGCTATAACCAGACATAGGAAGGAAACTGGAAGTGGGGGAAAGGGAATTGGGAGAGGAATTAGATTAGGCTTTATTCCTTTTCAGATTTAAAAAAAATTTTAAAAATATATATAGTCGGTCCGGTCGGGACCAACTGGTCACCGGTTCCAAAAATAGGAACCTAGAACCGGACCGGGCCTCTCAGAACCGACCAGAACCAGCCAATCCGGGCGGCTCCCAGTTCGGTCGGTTCGATATGCTCACCCCTAACTCAAATCTAGTAAACGTACTAAAGAGAGAATCCGATTCTAAGCGGTTCCCGGTTCGGTCCCATATGCTCACTCCTTACTCAAATCTAGGAAACGTACTAAAGGGGAAAAAGTGGGACGCGGCGTGCCTTGAAGAACCCTGCTCCGAACACTGCCACGAATTGAAAAAACTGAAGAAATGTCGGAACGTCGAGACGTCCTCGCTTACGTTCGGAGCGGCGCGATCAGTACAAACATGAGGCAATCATAGAGAGAGAGAGAGAGGAGAAGAGGAGATCGCCTTTTGCTTCCTGCTGCTACTCTCACTCTTATCTGTCCTCTTGCGCTTGACCGCTACCGCTAGCAGCCGCCTCTCTGTACCTTCCTCTCTCTCTTTTTATATTCGTTTGATTGATGGGTTGATCTTGACCAACCTCTTCCCACGGAGAGAGAGAGAGAGAGGGAGGGAGAGAGAGATGGGGTGGAGAGGGATACTGGGTTGCGATTACGGGATCGTTCAGGCGCCGCTGGGGCCGGACATTTCAGGGCCGGAGCTCGCCGCCGCCGTCTCTAACGCCGGTGGTCTTGGCCTCCTCAGGGCTCCTGACTGGGTAACGCTCCTATGCATCTATGTTTCTTTGGAACATGCTTTTGAGCTTTGATCCGAGAGCGTCTGGGATCCGTCTAGTCTTTATATGTTGTTGGGTTGTGTCCTAAAGCAGACGCGAGAGAGATTCTTGACTTGGGTGTTTCAATCTTGACCCAGAACCTGTCTTAGGGAGTTAAAAGGAAATCAGATGATCCATTGCCAAAGCAAATGCGTTCCCAAATTCCACATCATTGGCCCTTTCGGTCACCACTGACCTGGAAACGTTAAGTTGTGCGTTTCGCTGAATGGGGACGGATTGATGGCCTAACTACAACACTAGTTCTTGAGGAGTAATGCTACTAGTGGCAGGACTAATTTACGATATTAGGTTCTAAAGCGACGTGGCGAATTTTAAATCCGAATTTGGACTAGTGATCCGTATTCATGCTTGAGCCTAGCTTCTTCTTCTTTTTTTTGCCGTGTTTTTGGATGGTGAGTTTGCTTTTTTCTCTCGAAATTGGCATGTACTCAGGAGGCACCGGATCATGTGAGGGAGCTGATTAGGAAGACGCGGTCCTTGACCGATAAGCCATTTGGGATAGGTGTTGTTCTGGCATTTCCCCATGGAGAAAACCTGAAGGTGATACTTGATGAAAAGGTAGATGTGCTCCAGCTTTACTGGGGCGAGTGTACAAAGGAGCTGGTCGAACGAGCTCATCGAGTCGGAGTCAAAGTTGTGCCTCAAGTAAGTGATTGATCTTAGCAACCTTCTCTCTTTAAAAAGAATCTTTATATAATCTATTTGATTTGATTCCTCACATCTTCTTCTTGTACAACCTTCAGGTTGGTAGCTTTGAAGAGGCCAAAAGGGCTATCAATGTTGGTGTAGATGCGATCATCGTCCAAGGGCGTGAAGCTGGAGGACATATTATTGGCCAGGTACAGAGTTTTGTTTTGGCTGTTCAATCGTAATTTAGCTGATCCACCCAATTGGTTGCATAAGATATGTTGCCATCAGCAGGTATGAGTGGTTGCACTACAACTCTTAGTCTGTTACCATAATTCATATTTTTGTAGCGACTAAACATGTACATTCTCTCTTGTACTGTCTGCATTTGAGATAGGAATTTGCTTCTTCATATTAAAGGAACCTTGGCAATTAGCGATATTTTGTGATTAAGTTTACTGTGCTCTTCTGCTTTTGTAAATGGCCCTAATTACATCGTGGAAGTAAGTTAATATCCTCAAAACAAGCGCTAGTTTCAAAACTTGATGTGGAAGCTCACTCAAAGTCTCTGTCAACATCCTGGACTTGGTGCTCGTTTCTTATCAGAGAACTTCTGGATGTGACTGTATAAGTATCTTCCTCTACGATATTACATCATGTTATGGTGTTTGATATTCAATTAATAGGAGAGTTGGAGTATTGATATAAATTGGTGTTACATTGAAGCAATCTGAAGATAAACTTATTCTGTAATTTCTTGTCAATTTGTATCGTCAATCGTATTCCTCACCATGTTGTGGATGATTGCCCTATTCAAATCTGTCAGGATGCTTTGATTACCTTGGTGCCCAGGGTGGTGGATATAGTTGGAGACAAAAATATACCAGTGATCGCTGCCGGGGGCATTGTGGATGGACGTGGCTACGTTGCGGCTTTAGCTCTTGGAGCAAAAGGTGTCTGCATTGGCACTCGGTATGTAATACTGCTATAGCAGTGACTGAATTGTGAGATCCTTATGAATTGTCAATGCAAATTAATGTTCCTTAGCTCTGAGTATTGCTCTCAAGCGTCATCGGTAAAGTTTATTTTGCATGAAGAGTCATATTCAGACCAAGAAACTGTGAAGCAAAAGAAAAGGAATCCAAAGATCAATTGTAGAATTAGAATCAGAATATCCTTTAGAATATAATCTTTGACATCTGGGAAATACTACCTGGAGTCGCATGAGCAAAATATAGAGCTAGATAATGATCTGAATGAGGTCAACCAATTTTTGTTATGTTACATGTCGTGGATTGATGGAAACCAGGACTGGAGTTGATTTGATCACCCTGCAATGTTTATCCATTCGCAGATTTCTTGCTACAGAAGAAAGTAATGCGCACCCTCTATACAAGAGGAAGTTGGTTGAGTATGACCAAACAGAGTACACAGACATTTTTGGGAGGGCGCGGTGGCCGGGGGCACCGCAACGTGTCCTGAAAACACCATTCTTCAATGACTGGAGATCTCTTCCTCCCAATGAGAGTGAGGTGAACCAGCCCATAATCGGTCGATCGACAGTACATGGAGTGGTGAGATTCGATATCTAATAGCGAGATTGCATTCTCAATCAAGATCACTGTCTCATGCTGGAAACGAGAAAATATCGCTGTTACTCTAATCACTTTGAGCATTGTAAGTTATAGCTTGATAGAACATCCGCTTATTTTTTTCGAACAGGAGAAGCAAATACATCGCTTTACAGGGACGGTCCCAAACTCGACGACCACCGGTGACATAGAAAGCATGGCAATGTATGCGGGGCAAGGCGTAGGGCTTATCAAGGAGATTCTGCCTGCCAGGGAAGTGGTGAGGAGATTAGTTGAAGGTGCTCAGCTACTTCTTCAGCAACGGTTTGGTGCAATTTAACATAATGTTTTGAGCCAAAACTCTGGAGTACAAGGTGTAATTCCTTTCAAATGATTGTACAGAAATAAACCCTCAGATGAAGCAGAAATTCTGTAATTGCAATCAGTTCCGCCCAATGAAATAGTTCTTGTGATTTCAATGGCAATCCACCCCCTTTTGTTGCATGCAATGTTGACTTTAGGATGGAAGAAGAATTAGGGAAATAATTGATAGACTAAATCGAGTGAGTTTGTATAGCATACTTCAGAGAACTTGATAAAAAGGCAGCCACAAAGTTCTTCTCAGGACATTATCCTGCTTTCTCGGTTACCTTAAGCTTTGGCAATCTTTATGGTTTTGGAAGAGGCACTTTTGAAGAAGTGCGACTTTTTGAGTCCATGATCTCACTAGCAAATTCATCAGCCTTTCCAGAGGAGTACAGCATAAGGACTGCAGGCATCTTTATCTTCTCTATCATCTTTCTACTTTGATTAGTAGAAGATTAAGAGCAGCTAATCAAGCTTAGAATTTACGTTTGACTCAACCAATTTTCACCAATCTTCCCGTGAAACAACTCACTGAGTACTCCCTCTTCAGAGCATTGTCTCCATCATCTCTACACCTTAAGAGGAACTACTTGCACTCTGTCCCCAATTTCAGACTGAATGAGCCGTACAGAACTGAAGTTCCTCCCGTGTACAAGAAATATCATTCCTAAGATCACCCTCCATTTACCAAGAAAGAAGAAACAAATAGAAGCATTAAAGGCAGCTTTAACAAAAAATCACGTGAAAACCTCTCTTTTTGTGCCTTCGCAGCCCTAATCAGTTTCTTTTCTTATTCCTTCCTTTCTTTCGTATTTGCCTAGTGATCTCGCCCATCTGAAGCAATTGAGTCCGAGCCGATTTCGTTACGCAGCAGCGAGAGAACAAACGGTCTTTGCATTCAGCATTATTACGACACAAAATCACTTGCAATTCCCATTACACCTGCCTATCTTTTCTTGGTCTACATCAACACTGTCAGTTGAGATTTTGGTCCCCCTTTTCTCATTTATGTATGAGAAAGTACAGCCGTAACGTGTGCATGAGGGCTAGCCTTCCTTGATGAGGAAAATAACATAAGACAAACAGGAAAGAGAATGTTGTCCTTCCAATGTTAAAACAACGTCAGTAACTTTCCGCTGAAGTTGCATTGTGCGACATCGACTTACCATGCCATTGTGTCTGTCCGTTTTCAGTTAAGCAACCAATTCAGGTGAATAGCTGCAATGACAAAAATTGAATAGCAACAGCATCTTGTGCTTAGATTCTTTAGTTGTACAAAATGCATCAGCTTAGGTTATAAAAGAAAGTGCCAACAACGCAACAACCATTTCACTTTCATCCTTGCGTTTCTCGATGACATATGACTACAAATTGTGTTCTCAAAACACCCTGTCGAGAATTTCAAACTTCTAAATCGTCGTTGAGGATTTTAATATAGTTTTACACCCTGCTGACACTAGCTTGACAGGTCATGATAAGACACAATCATATTGTTCAAAATGGGGAAATTCCTAAGGAACACCAGTGTGGAGGCAGCGTCAATCAAGTACATAGCATGTAAAGGAGGACACCCCACTGCCATCTTTCAAGAAGCCCGTACAAGCAGGAGCTTCCAAGGCCGATGCTTCCCAAGCACTGCTGTCTTATCTCCAGCTATAACCAGAACCTCAATCCTACACCCAGGAAGAAAGTGGAAATTGTGGTTTTAATATTTGCCGCTCATAAGTGCAAATTCCCGAGGAAATGTGACAAATTGTAATGGAGCTCAGGATTTCATGCAGGAGTTAAATGAGAACCTAAGAGAATTCAAAAAGATAACAGAGACTCGGGGAGTTCCACTAGGTAAACTTGCCTAAGATATCACATTTCACCAAGACGTAAGACCCACTAATTACATAAATCAGCTTTAACCAATCAAAGAAAGGAAAACTGATCGGTGCAATAATAGATCATGAGATAATCTGAACCTAGTCCTATAGCTATTAAAAAAAATCAAAATCTGCATAACAAAAGTACCATACTTAAAAGCAATACTACTCGACTTTTCTGAGATGGGTGCAGGAGCTGCGCAGGGCTTGAATCTCACATAAGGAAACCAAGTGCTGAGGAGATCACAGACAGTAAAATCTTTGAAGAGGGTTGCATATACAAGATACAACCAACGCGGTTTCTCAGAACACAATTGGTTCAATCTAGAGAGAGCAATAATTGTCTAAAGTAGCAATCAAGTATATACTATCAAGTCGTAGACACTAAATCCATTACCATCTCAAAAATTTCTCACGTAGGTCTGGACAATTCACGCGACTGTTGCAGTATTCCAACACAGAATGAAAAGACGACAATATATAGGATGGTAGAAGAGGTTGCAAAACTTGACTCCATTCATGAACCGCGACTAAGGGATTTGCCTGCTGACAAGAAATAACAGTGTGTGGCTTAGTGGCAAAGGCTCCTGGGACTTTGAATCTATCAAATGAGCTGTGTATTTGCCGCAATTCAAAGGCAATTGCATCAACTGACAAGAAATTGGAGCAATCATACTGGCATTTGTGGGTTCGGTAAAGCCCCGAGCCCACGAAGTATCTCTAAACTTTATAACCAGGTAAGTGGCCTGCCAAAAAGCGAGCGAGAGGCTCAAACATAGAATTTTTGGCACCTGGAAAAGAAGTCGACCATATCGAATGTTGACACGTGGAAAAGTTCAAAGGTGACACAAAAGAAAGGACACCACCCTCTTAAAGGGGATTTTAGCAGAAAGTAAGAAAATGGGCAACAGTCAACCATGCGGAAAATCTCAGAAAGACAGAAAAGGCTCTCTTTTATAATGAGATTTCACATCTGAAAGAAATTATGGTTAAACTAAGACATACTTTTCTGGCAAATCATACTAAAAAGGAGATTCAGTTGAACAGCTAGAGAGCACTTAAGTCAATGCATAACCTCATCCTGCAAGTGGCAGAAGTAAGAAGCCTCCAACTTGTCCTCCGCCGCTTGATTGTTCCTGGGAAGCATTCCTCAATGGAGCATTAATTGCAATCACCGTAGAAACTTTTGAATGGATTACAAACAAATATTTCTTATGCACAAGCTAATGTAACTTCACCACTGACATTGTATTTATCAATCAACTATACTAAAAATTAAATCCCATTTCACAGCTCATTCTATGTACATTCATAAAACACAAAGAATGATCAACCTTTTAAAGGAAATTAAAGGTGACATGCTATGTGGTCTAAATGTCCAATCATCGGCACTCCATATTTCTGAAGATTGAATCGTAACATAACCAGACCAAAATCAGAACGCACGCTCACCAAAATTCCTTCTGATAATAGGATGTAGAGTTGCAAGAAAAGTCAAAAGACGCACACATACACACACATTCCAGATTCCTTAAGCATGAATCATGACATACCAGACCAAAATCAGAACATAGACTCTCACCAAAATGCCTTCCTAAAACAGAATGTTGAAAAGGGAAATCGGAAAAGACAGTTCAAATGGAAGAATCTGTAACAATTTTTATCTACCATGAAAGATATGCATGAATAACCATTCAACCTCGCTTAAGGATGGTAAGTTAGTTTGGAAGAAAAAAATATACGTGTCATCAGACCAACAAAATATTCAAAGCAAATACTGATGCAGAAAGAAACAGGACACCGCATTGGAAGCTGTAAAATTGAAAGAAAGAGGAATACAAAACTGCCAAATCAATTGCCATCTCTGAAGGGAAAGAAGTGAGGTTACATCCTACCCAACAAAACAAAAAGGAAAAAAGAATTGGAGCAAGAACTGTACTCACAGGTGCAAAAAGCAAAGGGTTGCAAAAAAAACTGCACATGCAGGTTGCTGGGAAGAAACTTGCCTGCTCTCTGGGACAAAATTTGCTCAACTTAACACATCTTATAATTTTTTCCACATTTTCTCACCAAATCCAATGCTAAGTCCAATGATACATATACAATATTATGTAGAAAGAAAGCTACCAACAGATCAAACTGCAATGATTAATTCAAAAGGTAGGATGTAAAAGAATAAAACAAATAGAAAATAACAAATTCACAAATGGACATTCAAAATTCTATTCCATCCATTTGAATTCTATATTCTAGATGCAGGCCCCAACAGTAGATTTCCTGCATTACAGCGCATGAATTAATAAAGGGTCTTAGACATCTAACCGGCAATATACTTCAGAAGTAGCAAGCTATGCTAAAAAATTAAACTCTTTGTCCCCACAATTCTATGCTCGATGTTAAGAAAGAGAGATTAGAATGGATACGTAATAACAATGAGCAAATTCTTAGATCCCGGAATGTTAGTTCGGAACTATAGTCACCTTACATGGTCTGAAATACCATACTGCTGTAGCACCAAGCTTCCCCACATAGTTTCAATGCACTGCATCTTTAAAGAAATGTTGCCAAACACAAATGTTCCAACATATCATAATAAAACTACACTAAAGTCACAACTATACCCAACAAACTCTTACTCTGTGTTTGGGAGTGCTTTGGAAGCTTTGCTTTTGAAAAGCTATAAGAACTCAAGTAAAGCATTTGGCAGGCCTTTAAAATAAGTAGAAAGTGAAACTGACTCCTTCACAAGCTTGCTCCTAAAGATGCAGCTCACAGGTGCCTTTTAAAACTCCTGTTCCAAACAGACCATGGTAGCTCTTTCTAAATGTCAATATAGATATATTTAGATAACTTTCAGGCCTGTATGGTGACACATATTGGATAAGCTTCAACAACTCAAGCTACTTATGATGGTCATTGACTGGGATTTAAACTATAACAGCTACAAAACTCGAATTGCTAGGCATTTACCATCATGTGAGAGAAGTTGAGATTTATCTTTATATCTAGAGAAGAGATCCAAGATATATATATACAAAGGAAAAGAGAATTGATTCCCGAATATTACCAATTTGAAGTGATTTTAGTCGCAAATCTATCATAATAGGAACAACAAGGGAGAATCATGGGAGGCCAAAATAATATAATACATCAAGAATGACCAAAGTCCATCCTTATTTATCCAATTATGCTACCACTGTGCCGGTTGTGGAGACTTATCAAATATGGCTGTGCTGTATGTACTGCACCAACCAAGTGCGTTATAAATGCTATGGGGAACCTACAAGTAATTGGCATATTTCGACAAGCATTGATATGGAACCAGAAGCCCCACAGAAGCATCCAAACATACTTTCTTACTTCGACTACCAAAAAAAACTACAATGAATAAGTCAATATTCCGATAAACTACATAGTGGCTATGAGATATTTCCGGCTACTCAACGATACTGCTGCTGTAAGCTTACAGATATCATCAGATGTAATTATAACACGAGTAACATATATCACTATAACTACCATGTTGGTCATTCCATAAGAAGATGCCAAAAGCAAAAGGCTCAGACCTCTAACTACTTCATTCAAGCTCACCGACACTTCAATTATCTCCTAAAACACTTGATTGGTTCGATGACAAAATGAAACTGTGTTACATTGTCACGTTAACGTCCGTGAATTTCAGATGAGATAACAAGATCATGAATTTCACAGAAAAGCTAGAACACTAACTTTGATTTTCTCTGCATGATATTTACAACCTCACTGACCTACAATGCTCCAACCAGCAGGTATTCAATGAATTTATCATCTAACGTCTCTTCGCCAGTGAACTGTAATGCATCTTCAGCAGATCCTCAAGAGATACCAAAGACCATGCTTCCTCGTTTTGGGCAAATACCTTCTGATTAATAGAGTCCACAATGATGCTCACATTACCAAAACCATATATCTGAAGGCCATTGTGCATCCGACCGGGCTTAGGTTTGAATAGCAACTCATGCTGCTGTGCATAGGCCTCGATGACTTCTTTTAGCTTCATCTCAGGCATGCCCCCAGCAGCATCCATCTGAGAGGTGCCACCAGCACCAACAGCAGCTTGTTGTCGAGCATAAGCTGCTGCTTTCTGCTGAGCCTCAAATTGCCTCTGCTCAAGGACCCTATGATAACTCAAGTTTTCTCTAACACCAGGTTGGACAACCTCCATGCCTTCAGCTGCATTGTCCATCATGTCTAGACCAATTCTAAGCTGATATCTGATACTCTCGTTTGCTAGCAGCTCTTGTGGAAAAAGATCCCGCCAACCTCGATACCAGTTCATAACTTCATTGAAGTCTGGGTTAGAACATAACCAGTGATACAACACCTGTAGCCACTTAACGAAAAAGAACTTCTCCATCAAGTCCACCATGAGATGGATCGGGATAGCAGAAGCCCAAGACATGACCCAATATAACTGATCCAGCTTCTGATCAGCCGGATTTATCTGGAACTCCTGGAGGACAAGCTGCAACTTTGGAACGATAAATCGGCGCATAAAATCTTCCCAACTGGCCGAATCAAACACGGTCTTCCAAGGTGACAAAATGGTGTATGCAGAGCCATCACTTGGGTGCCAGGCATGAAGTACGTTACTCAGTTTTGACCGTATGATCTGATAGTGGCCCTCCAACTTTTGCCCCAACAAGGGTAACCAGGGATGCACCCAGACATGGATAGGAACAGTTTCACGACGGGGGTCCCACGAGTCCACAGCACTCGACAATTTTGGCATCACTACCATGTTCAGTATGGACTGCAGAACAGAAGAAGGCAACAATTTTTCCCATGTCTCGAGGAAACGAAGCATTGGTTCTGGATCCCTTGCCTCCCAAGTGTTAATGCCAGATATTCTCACAGCAGGCAAGACAACTTCTGAAACCAACTGGGTATAAGAGGATCCCAAATCCCATATATCAAGACATTCCTGTCCTTGCAATAGAGATTTCCACCGTGAAACAACTTCCAACCCATGTGAGGGATTCCGAAGAGGATCCCATCCCTGAAATACTCTGATAAACAGAGGGAGTGCAAATGAACAAGCAATGCAGGATAAGTTACAAAGTTTATAATCATCAGGAAACCTTCTTTGCATGTCACCGAAAGACTTGGCTAGCAAGTCTAATGTCAATGTCCCCATTGACTTTTCCTCCTCAATCTGGCCTAGCGTATTCATTATTTCCTTCATATTATTCAGTTGTTTCTTCTGGAGTTCTGCCTCGGCTTGCAACTTCTCTTTTTCCTCTTGCAAGCTCAGAGCTGTCTCCTTCTCATTCCTCAGATCCCTATCGATCTTCTGAATATCCAACTCAGCCAGGTCCACAATCAACCTTATATTGTGCTGGAGCTCAGGCATTGGAACATCACTCTCCCTCGCCTTCGATTCCGCATTCAGATTCTCCAAGTTTGCTAATACCCTAACCTGAGGTCCACGCATGTCAAGTACCTTTTGCACAACTTCAACACCCTGTTCCTGCTTCTTTGCCAACAGCTCTTCTGCTGTAACATATTTCACTTTGTTTTTCAGTGTCGCCTTCTTCGCTTGCTTAGACCAAAGCCTCTCCTTACCGGGCACATCAGGTAATGTCTTCTTTTCCTCTGGCTCCAGCGAGGCAACAGGTGCCTTTGCAGGAGTTTCTTTGTAGTCGTTGAAACCCATACCCATATTCTTAGGACGCAACTTTGCTTCAATGGGTGTCACAATCCCCTGCCGGTTCTTCCCAAGACCGCCCCCTTTGTAACCCATTTTCTCGAGCAACTTCATTCCAATTCCCTTGGTGTACTTCTCAAAGCCGCCCACATTCCCCGAATCATAAGAATCACTCTTAGCACCCCCTCCTTGATGCGCTTTCTTCTCCAATTTGGATTGCTCTCTCCTCCTCTCCGCTCCCTCCTTGATCTTCCGCCCGAATGCGGTCGGCAAGAAACTCTCCTTCTCCCCCTCCTCGCCGTTCTCATCGAAATCATCCTCTCGCTTCTTAAACCCCAAACCCACACCAGCGCCAGCCCCCAAGCCCGGCCTATCCTCGTCCATGGCAGCAGACTCCTCATCCTCATTCTCCCTCTTCGAATTCTCATCAATCTCTCGGTTCGGCATGACCGTGCCGGTGGACACGAAATTCACGGGTTTCGACAGATCGGCCTTACCTAGGAGGTCCTTGTTCTTCCTCCGCTTCCTCTTGGAGGACTCGTCGTAGTCCGAATCGGAGTCCCCCGACGCGAAGACGCCGTAGAGCACGTCGTCCTTGGTCTGCGCCCGCTTCTCCCTCCGCCGCCGGTAGTAGAACTCCCCGTCGATCCACTGCCCGTCGTCGTAATCGTTGTCCATCCCGAACCTCTCCATCTCCTGGTCCTCCTCCATCTTCCACAATCCCGGTTAAACCGAACCGAAGTAAGGCGCCTAGGGTTTGGGGGGCTTCGGAGGCGGGGAGAGAGAGAGGGGGCGGCGCTGATTGCCGGATGCCGAGGCGACTGGCGGCGCGGATGCGGCGGCGGTCGGAGGCGGAGATGGACGGTGCAGCTCGGCTCGAGGGTGGAGAGAGAGAGAGATCGAGAAGAAGCAATTGTGAGACCGATGCAAGAAGAACCGCCGAGAAATGGAAAACCTAACGGATCTTCTCCTCCTTCTTCCGTTTTTAATATCTCGGATGTTAACAACAATTCTTGATTTTTTTATAATTCCCTATTTTTTTAAGGAGAAAAAAATTCATTTATCGTGATTTTTTTTTAAATTTAGGTTGATGAGATGTCGATAATCGGGAATGAAATTGGGTAGATTTTTCATTTATAGACATAAGGATATTGAAAGAAACATTTCTTAGAAATTTAAGGGCGCGATGATAGAATTTCTCTTCCCAGCCCTATTTTTGGCTATAAACATCTATTTCTATCCTCCGGATAAGTTTCTGAGTAAAAAGTAGCATTTGATAAAGCTACAAAATTTCTATTCGCAGAATAAAAATTCATTTGATAAGCTATTCTTAAATTTTTGCTCCTGGTGGCAGAGGGTGAGCAGGTGTCGAACGACGGCGGCGATCTGCGGGCGGTGTTGGATGGCCAGTGGCGGCCGGCGGACAGCCAGTGGCGGGCGACGGCGGACGATTGGTGGGCGGCAACCGACGGTAAGGGCGAGCAATAAAAGAGAGTTATTATTTATATTTTTGTTTCATAAATAGAAAAGTATAAAATTTTAACTTTTCGTTTAGGTTCCAAATCTATTTTTAGGCTAAAATTTTGTCTCCGAAATAGAAAAATGAAATTATTTTACCAAATGAATTTATGTTCCAAATTTGTTTTCAATAATAAAAAAAATAGAAAAATAGGGAAATAGAATAATATTATTCGCGCCCTAAGTACCAATTTTTGACGATCTTCAACTCTTGTTTGCTTACAAGCTGCTCATAATGGCACCATAGGGTCTCCATATTATTGTCCCTTAACCCCTGCGGAAATCAAGTCATTCCATCGATCCCCGAATCAGGAGATAAGAAGGGATCAACACCTTTTGCACTTGCAAAAGCCCCAGCAGTCAGCAGACCCAGCACGTCGAGCTAAGCCCACTATTTCTGTCGCTCTACTTGGCGAGAAGCGAACGAGGAAGAGTAGCCTGCATATGAGGTGTTCGATGAATTGCTCCACTGAAGATTTTTCAGCTCGTGCGCCACAACTAATGGGTTTTTACGTAGAGCTCCTTGTGATCATCTTATTTTTACGATTTCGATGATTTGTCTAGGCGGGTCTAACTCTACGATCCCGCGACATCTCCGAGGCACACACAATGGCATTTACTTTCTTGAGAAGAGGCATTGCAGTAACGTCAGGGGTCAACTCTCGTTTTCTGCCGAGGTTGGTCAGTGTTTGGTCAAGTGCGTCCGAAGTTGCTGATAAGGGAATCGAAAAGGGTCGGTCTGAGTTGGTTGATAATGGGCCTAAAACAGCTGCTCGCGGTTCGAACAGAGTGCAGCTTTCTCCATTGTTTGCTGATGGCAGGCCTTCATTAGATGGTTGTGCCATTGAGGTTGTGGATGACGACCCGTGGCAGGTCTCGGCTGCGTTGGCGCAGGCATGGCAGGGTTCGAGGAGGTCGTCGGGAACAGAAAATTTGACCGAAACAACAGATGAGTATGAGGATCATTCTTCATCCGTTGAGGAAGAGGCCGACTTCAACGAGATTGATAACACGTGGATAAGAGGCAATCTCTTTCACAAAATTGACGAGGCATCCAAGGAGTTCGAAGAGTACAGTTCTGACTTCCATAGGAAGAAATCCCCAAAGCGGCGAGAAGATCCAAAGGAAAGCAAGAAGAAGGAAGACCGAGGTTTAGCCACCAGAGATGAAAAACTTCCCAAAGCTGCAAAGAAAAAGAATGTGCCTTTTCTGCTGGATGAAGCCGAAGTTGATTGCACTTCAAGCAAAAAGAGGCTGAGGACTCCGACATTTAATCAACTCACAGGTCCTTACCATGAACCGTTTTGCCTGGATATTTACATATCAAGGGCCTCTGTTCGTGCATGTATAGTTCACAGGGCGACGGGCAAAGTCGTCACTGTGGCACATTCTATTTCGAAAGACATGAAGTTCGATCTGGCTTCGACTAGAAATACAACTGCTTGCACTGCAGTTGGCGAAATTCTGGCTCAGCGAGCGTTGGCTGATGACATTCATGACGTAATTTACACGCTGAGGATGGGGGAGAAATTGGAGGGAAAGCTTATGATTGTGCTTCAGGTTGTTATTGATAATGGGGTTAACGTGAAGGTGAGACTAAAGCAACGGAAAACAAAGAAAGCCAACCATCAAGCCACAATTTAAAGGCGGAGTCATCAGCTCTCTAGTTGCGTGCACATTAGAATGGAATTCTGCTGTGCTGGTGGCGACTGTTTATGGGTAGATGCAACTTTTGCTTATATGATCTAGAGAATGTTGCATGACATTGTAAGGCATCACTATTCTCCTGGAGATGAGTTTTTGCAGAGAGAGGCGAGAGTAATATCTGCTCATTTTTTAGGGATGGACTATTGAACAAGAATATCCTGTGAAAGCTGTCACAGACAGATGTAGAACAAACCTCTTGTACAAGTATAAGGTTTCTAGTCCTTCCGTTGATAGACAAGTTTGTTTTACCAATGAAGGTTTATGTCCATAAGCCAAGAAACTTTTTGAGAGAAATTCTTGTCGATAATAACTTGTATGCCAAATCAATACATCTATCTCATGACATGTTCATTTTTTGCAGAGAAGATGTCAGTTATCTCATGATTCCTGCAAACACCATTCCGGATAAGCAAGAAATCTCCTCCCTTTTGAATATTTTCATCCCAAAACTCCAACTTTGACTTCCTAAACAAATTCATGTGACTCAGTTAAGTTCATTCCCTCCAACACCAAGGAGGCAAGGCAACCATATCCCATTTGCAACCACAGACTGAATTCAAGCTTTTCAATGCACAGGTTAACTTAATCCACCTAAAATTACCTTCCCCATGTTTGTCTAGTGTTACATTAACAATAAGAAGATTCAAACTTAGCTCACCGGGTTCCTACCTCAGGGTTTAATAACAAGGTGATGTATATATTCCTTGCCCGAAAGTGTGTGGGGTTTTACTATCCCGCACTTTAACTTTCATAGCCTCTACTTTCATACTCTATATCGATTTGATATTTCTCTTTATCTTGCTCTGATGCATCGATTACCTTACGTGTTTGGATTAATGTTGATCGATCGTGCAACCATTGGTGCAGCGTCACACAATCTCCTGCCGTTCTTCCCAAGACCGCCCCCTTTGTAACCCATTTTCTCAGAGCAACTTCATTCCAATTCCCTTGGTGTGTACTTCTCGAAGCCGCCCACATTCCCCAAATCATAAAGAATCCCTCTTAGAACACCCCCCCACCCCCCCCTCCTTGCTGCGCTTTCTTCTCCAATTTGGATTGCTCCCTCCTTGATCTTCCGACCAAATGCGGTTGGCAAGAAACTTTCCTTCTCCCGGCCTATCCTCGTCCATGGCAGCAGACTCGTCATCCTCACATTCTCTCTCTTCGAATTCTCATCGATCTCTCTGTTCGGCATGACCGTGCCGGTGGACACGAAATTCACGGGTCTCGACAGATCAGCCTTACCTAGGAGGTCCTTGTTCTTCCTCCGCTTCCTCTTGGAAGACTCGTCGTAGTCCGAATCGGAGTCCCCCGACGCGAAGACGCCGTAGAGCACGTCCTCCTTGGTCTGCGCCCGCTTCTCCCACCGCCGCCGGTAGTAGAACTCCCCGTCGATCCACTGCCCGTCGTCGTAATCGTTGTCCATCCCGAACCTCTCCATCTCCTGGTCCTCCTCCATCTTCCACAATCCCGGTTAAACCGAACCGAAGCAAGGAGCCTTAGGGTTCGGGGGGCTTCGGAGGCGGGGAGAGAGAAACGGGGCGGCGTCGACGCCAGATGCCGAGGTGACCGGCGGCGGGGACACGGCGGCGGTCGGAGGCGGAGATGGGCGGTGCAGCTCGGCTCGAGGGTGGAGAGAGAGAGAGATCGAGAAGAAGCAAAAGTGACCGATGCAAGAAGAAACGCTGAGAAACGGAACACCTAACCGATCTTCTTCTCCTTCTTCTTCCGTTTTTAATTTCTCGGATGTTAACAATTATTCTTGATTTTTTTGATAATTCCCTATTTTACTTTATGGAGAGGAAAATTCATTTCTCGTGATTTTTTTTTAAATTTATGTTGGTGATATGTTGATAATCAAGAATGAAATTGGGTAAAATTTTCAATTATAGACCTAAGGAGATTGAAAAAACATTTTTTAAGAATTTAAGTCGCAAGATATAAAAGCAGAACTTTCCTTTAATAGTAGGAAGTATATGTTGGATATTATAAAGGACGAGGGAGTAACACGGCGCAAACCTAATAATCTTCCCAATTAAGCTCAAAACCTGAAATTATCAAGGATTTTTTTTTATGTGTGCTCTTTGAGTTAATTTATGAAAAAACCGAAAGTATTATCAGATAGTGGTTCCAAATTAAAGGGTACATCGCAACAAAAATTGCAGCAAAAATCCCGTTGTTAGCAAACGTACCAAATATTTGTAGCTTTCGAATTGAAATTTGACGTGTTCCAAATCTATATAATAAGCAAGGCAATAATGCCATGAAGTTTAGTAAGGTTAGAACTAACAGCTAAACAACCAAACCAGAGAAAGCACGAAGAGATCTACGCTGGAATCCTGGTCACGGCCCAAGGTCTGGAGAAAGGGCCAAATCATGACCACCCTTCATATAGCATCGGCACTTTCCTCGGACCACAGGCATCAAAGCGAGGGTCCAAAAAAGGTATGCTACGGACGGTCCGAGCACGTGTGAGGAGCTTCTGGTGTCGTTTCGATGGAGTATGTTTAGGACCGAGAGTCATATGAGGCGTACCATGGTTGACCAAAGTCCAACGGATGGTAAGGGTACGTCCGTACGATCGGGGAGTCAAACCCGGCAATGTCAGTTGAAGGCCAAACAATTTGCCTTTTATGGTCACTCTAAGAAATCTCTAAACCTAGCAAATCTTTGATTCTGCATCTCTAATTCTTATGCATATTTTCGTGATAAATCTCTTTTCCATGTACAAAAGATAATACGATTATGTGACGAGTATATTGTTAATATAGTTGTCATGTCGATGAAACGCAGACTCCACATGGATGCTTGCATGTCCAAATTATCGACGTTATCTTTCATTTCAGTTAACGCCTTTCGAATTTTCTAACGGACATATCATATTAGATCCGATATGTCAAGTGAGCTCGAGCTTGAGACGGATGTGGTCCTTCAGGCCAGGTTCCTGTTTAGTTCCAAGACCAGTAGGGATAGGGATCAGTTCAATTAACCCACTTCCCATTACTATAAATAGAAATAGCAAAGCCACTCCTTCCACGCCGGGGGACCTTCTTTATCCATATATCCTGCCATAATCATATTAGTTGAGGGCATGGCCGAGGGTAAGGTGGGTGACTTGAAATCCTTTTTGCATGGTTGAACAATGAGAGAATTTAGTAGAAATTGGTGTAGAACTTTCTTTAATTGACTAACCATGACAAGATGTAGCATAGATTGGAAATTGCTTCGCCATTCATATCATGATTCAGTCAATTTGACACAGAGAAGTCTGAACGCTCTTTGCATGAGAAGAAAATAATAAAACTTCAATTTGCGCAGCCCACATGCGAAAGGACTACTCGTAAAATTTTTAAGAATTCGAAAAAAGACAATGAAAAGAATCTGAGGTAAGTTCCCTGGAGCTCATAAAACCATGGGTTGTGCCTCGAAATTCAGAGCTAGTATATGGCTTAAGGGAAGTGTATTCGACATTACTACACTTTACAATTCTAAAGGTCTTCTAGAGGTCAGGTTCAGCAACCGGAAACCCTAAAGAATTTCCAGAGACGGAAGTTATAGAATCGACATTTGGCAAATCAGCTTCCTCTGACTTATGACTCCTGCTCACATAGTGATTATTAAGTCTAGGATCAAGGAAAGGTATCTTACACATTCAGGAGGACCATTGCATTCATTAGAACAAAACTCATGCTTTTATCCATTTTGCCGAATCAGAAGCAGAATTCACCCCAGCAATTCTGTAAGTTCTGTTCTCACCAAAATTGAGCTAAAGCGATGCTTCCTTTGCTGTATTGTATTGCATATTATATTGTTCACCCAACTTTTATCAATGGTTCTGAAGATGGATACTCTGAACACAATATCGTCCCTTTTAATAAAGCTCGAACACACACGTCTTCCACCTTCAGAGAAGTTTCTCTCATGAATGCGGCCCAACAGGCAGATAACTTTCCATAATGTCGTGGCTGATGAGCTTTAATGGCCATAATTTGTCTTGAAATGTGAGAGCCATGGTCTGCGGGCTTTTCTTAATGTGCGTCTTTGGGAAAGAACCGGGAACTCTCTGCTCAAGTAGACATTTCAAGATTTTGTCATCAGAAAGAAGATAACAACCAATGATTTCTGAGGAAGACAGTATGAGGATCCTTTTCAAAGCATGTGAAGGATAACAGAAACTATTGACGCTATGCACGATTAACCTAGAGCTAACATAGTCTAGTGACTCTACGTGATTTAAATCCAAGAGTTGTCATTGTCATGAGGATCTCACCGCATTGTTTTTCTTCAGATGTATTCACCTCACCACAATTTCGGAGAAAGGATACTCGGGTTTATATTTGCTGGCCCGTTCAAGAGCGCTGCACAAGCTTGGTTCTTTCAGCTTACTTGCAGCAATCGCAAAAGAACATGAAGAAAGCTTTTGCTTTCTAGGCATATTCTATTATTGTATGTGAAACTCATATCTACTGACATAGCAACCCTAAATCAATAGATCTGAGTATTACTAATGGTCTAGATTCCTGAGGCCTATATGCACACCAATACGATTCTCAGCACAATCAAATCCGATATGACCGGTTCGACTTGTTTCCATTGGCTTGACATTTATGAGATCCCACAACACATACATATGCACACACAGGAGGACTAAAGACAGAGAAACACTACGAGAATGAATTAACTCTAACACAGTTTCTCTTAGCCTAACAAAGTGGAGAGTTCCTATAAGGAATTCAAATCAAGCACAAGAACAACATAGTCAAGGGAAGTAGTTAATATATTAAGATTCACACCTGGAAAATCTAATGATGAGCAATTCGAACTTCTGTCCCTCCCCAAACTCTGTGCTGATGAATGTGCATAGGAACCGCCATGAACTTCGTAAACCTGATCAAATTCCATTGCCATATAAAGCCGAGGACACTTGGCTGAATGCAATTTGTCCCTAAAGACTTAAAGCTTGACCGAAACATCACGGCAATCGCTGGCATCTTCCACTTTTAGCAAGACAATTCCACAATCGCTGAGGCTCGGTTCCAACCATTTGATAGCCAAACCATCTCATCACATTTTTCCAATTTCACAGGCCAAATAATTGCACTAAACTCTCTGAAGCATCCTTTCGAGAGATTCTCACCATAATTTCTTGTGACCACTTTTGAGAGATTCTCACATATTTTCTCATGAACCTCTTTGGTATTACCTGTAGGAAAAATAAAACCCATAATCTTAATAAGCCTATGAGACTTGATTTCAAATTCAAAATGAAGAACAAAATACAAGAATGCATAAACCAAAACGGACATCTTGAAGCACATCCTTTTCGGTTCATTCAGATTTGGAATGTGGCATTAATGAGTGCATCTGGATTATTATCAACATCATAAACCCAATCGGCATAGAAGTACACTTCCTTGATTCATCAAGACTATATAAAGGAGTTATTAGTTGGAACACTGAATTCCTTTTGGACTAGCCAAAGTGACACTTCTAGAGTTAATCTTGATCATTGTAAATCAAGTCCTAGCCAGCATTAGTGAATATGTAGACTCTGAACACACAATCATCCTTATCAATTAGTTTCCACATGCAGATGACTTTCTCTTGCAAATGTGGGCCAATCAGCAGAAAAGAACACCCCTATCAACATCATAAACCCAATCGGCATAGAAGTACACTTCCTTGATTCATCAAGACTATATAAAGGAGTTATTAGTTGGAACACTGAATTCCTTTTGGACTAGCCAAAGTGACACTTCTAGAGTTAATCTTGATCATTGTAAATCAAGTCCTAGCCAGCATTAGTGAATATGTAGACTCTGAACACACAATCATCCTTATCAATTAGTTTCCACATGCAGATGACTTTCTCTTGCAAATGTGGGCCAATCAGCAGAAAAGAACAACCCCCTCCCCCCTCCCCCCCCCTCAAACCAAACCAAAACAACTGAATACCTGAGGGTAGCAATTTGCTTGATTTCTTGAATATGTTGTGTGATGAATTGAATAGAAGTAGATTGCCCATGTACATGGTTGAAAAACCAATATATGGTAAAATCAAATCACACACAGCGTGAGTTTAAGGCAGTAGTTGCTAGTTTCAGGAGTTTTAATAGACAGCGAACCATATAATGAAAGTCATCAATCCAAAGTCAAATGTCAAAATCTATGCTCCTTGAGTGCAAAAGGGTACACATTCAGAAGAAGCCTTCCATGTCTTATATATATATTTAAAACATATGAATTTCAGCCACACAGACCACAATCACAGGGGAAAAAGCAAAAACATCAACAACTGGAACATGGATGGAATTGAAAATTTAAAGTTAAGCGGTTCGATTCTTTCAACTGCAACTCTAATAAGGTTTTGTCAAACTATTGGTTCAATTTGACAAAGTAAAGTCATCTTTTTTTCCTCCAAATCTGATCAATCTAACAAAATACAACAATATCTTTTATTTGACAACAAATTTATTAGTCGTTAGATCTACAATGAAATTTCAGATTCATAACAAGCCAACCACTTATTTTTTTAGGTCTTTCTCTTTAGTTACGGAGGCAGCAACATTCTTTGCAATTTGCTTGTTCATATCAACGTAGTCTCCTTGTGCGATTTAAATATATATTCTACTTCTACGACATTTAATAACATGGTCAAATTTCTCCATATAAGAGGACTTAGATTCTAATTCATAAGATGCCTCAGCAATTGCTTTTCCAACACATCTAACCACAAAAAAGAAGATTATTGTTATCTTTTTGAACCTCCGACCACCAGCTTATGTCCCCATAACTGTCCTTTCATTCTTTTCCCTGCTTCAATTACTCCATTGTTAAGATATATACCTGGTTTTAAACATATACCCATGAACACTTCAAGGATAATAACATGTCATGAGGTTTACTACACAATGAAGTAAACTTGGAATTACGCTAGAGTATAAGCAAAGATATAAACAACATTCATATATTTGATTTTCCGACATGCCAGTCTGAGTAAATAAGCTTGGGATCTTACCAAGCCATACTTAACGTAAGATGGCCTCATCACCAACTTGAAAAAGGGATGCTCCGTTTGAAATTTGTTGGCTGATTTAAGAGCAGTGAGAGGCCTTGGGTGCGTGGGACCATAAAAGACCAGCTCAGGGTGCCTCAATCTGCTGACTGTTTGGTCCTCCCTGTACTCGAAAAACGACAACTTTAGTGGCGGTTCATGTAAACTTCATTAATTCGACTTGCTATGAAAAAAATTCAACATAGATTGGAAGTTAATATTATCCCCACAATCATTACGTAATCAATCAAGATTAAAAACAAGGGCTTCTTAAAAACTATTCTAGAGTTTGAAAAGAACAACGGAAAGAGAGTTGTGGAAGCAGAAACAAGACATGTTAAATCGCAAGTCACCCTCCAAATCCTCATGAGGATGAGCAGTCCGGAGTTTATCGAGAACAAGGCGTAAAAGTGACTCCTCATATTTCGACTAGGCACGGACATTCTCTAAATTTTCAAGTTCCATGATTTATTCCCTCTTCCAATAATAATAGAAATTTAACCCTTGATGTCTGTTGAGAGACATCTATCCCTAAAGCAACCTTATCAGATATTTTTACATGAAACGGAGCCCTAATCACAACTTCTTAGTATTCATGAATATGTTTCAAACTACTAGATGAAGACGCAAGGAGTATTCTGCCAATGCACGTTTTCAAACACGGACAAGACTCGAATGCGGAACGAATTTAAAAGGCAGAGCCCCTAGCTGAAGAAGACGACGATCGAGGAAGGTTCACGAAAATCTGGAGAAACTCACCTGCAATAAGACACGAAAATCGGGAGAAATGATGCGTGAAGAAGCGTGAACTCACGATTTTCTCTGATGAAGTGGGGAGGACTGTGGAGGCTCGGTGGTGCCATCTCCGGCGTCGTACTTTCGTCTTCTCTCCAGTGCCGACGACGGCGACGGCGACGGCGGCGGCGGCGACCAGAAACCGTGATGATCTTTAGGGAATGGTGGCCTGGAGTGCGCACTGTTCAACTTCTCGCGAGAGAAAAATCCCTCTTTCTCTTCATTTGCACCGCCTGTCCTGCCCTTCCCTTCATCAATGGTTAGGCAAGGTTTAAAAAAAAAAAAGAAGAAAAGTTTTAGGGGCCGAACAATTTGAGAAGCAAAAGGCGAGCGAAAAAAGCAAAATACGCGAGAAAAAAAAAGACATTAATTGGATCTTACCAATTTCATGTGCGTATTTGTTCATGCCGATAACTTTTGTATGGTTGTATTGAGATCACGCTCCTCCCAGTTCCCTATCCGCTGGTATCTAAATAGTGTCACCCAATATAATTTTGGTGTGCTTAGCGTACCCTTGGAAAAGATCTTCATTTGCGGGCACTCTTCCACTTCAATCTTCAACAAGGATGGAAATATGAAGATGCAACTTGTGGCGGAGGAGAAGCATTCTAGGCTTGGCAGATTTTGGAGTGTCAAACTAAATAACTTCCCAAGAGATATCACTTTTCCTTCTCCATTTTCATCGTTTGCCACTACTTCTTTCATTCTTTCACATCCTATTATAGTCATATCAGTGAGATGCACCAAATTTGTAATCACTGAAACTGTTACCAGATGTATCAATCCAGAAGAATTCTTCACCACTAACTTTGTCAAATTCTGGAAGGATATCGCGGTTGGAAATATTGTTGTCAAACAAGGACAATCCCAAACCTCAAATGTTTTGATACTCTGAAGAATTTTTGCCATTAAATAGTCTTCTCTCCATACACGTTTTAGATTATGCAACTTGCTCAACTTAAGTTCTCTTAGATTTTCAAACACCAGATGTTTTCCCTCGTCAACAAGCCCTTCATCGGGGAATATATGTTCAAAGGAGCTACAAAAGACCTCAAGACTTAGTAAATTCTGAAATTTCTCTAGGAGGAACATGAGAGGAAAGACGGCCTTTTCATCATGAAAGCATGCCAATGTTAATGCTTTTGGCTTGCCAAAGATGTCATCGGGAAGTTTTCCATCCTGTATCATCTGAACATCTTTATTGACTAATAAAAGTCTCTCTAAGTTGGGAAAGTCCTGTCAAATTGCCAATACAACCAGAGAAGTAAATTCAGCAAAGATTGGGCCATAAATCATGTGTTAATAAAAGGTAAACCTAATTCAAATGATTTGCATGGAAGGTGGCCGTCTTTTACATTTCATCAAATCTAAAGATCCTTGCATACAAGTCTCAAGTAGAGGTTGGTATGGCTATGTTGGTAGAGTAAATCTAAATTCAAGAGCCCTCCAACTCATCAAATTTATCTTTTATTAGAAATATCGCATCTTGTCAACAAAAATTTGTCATCTTTGGAACTTTATGTAATGGGACGCACTCATAATGTTTCTAAAACATATAAGGTCCATAAACTGAAAAATGTGCTTAAGATATAAGACATGTCTTATGTTGTCTTCAAACTCATAGGTAAGGGGTTTCAGGTTTTCTATAGTATTATAATATGACGACTATGCAGTGGACAGGGGAATTAACGAAAACAATAGAAAATAGTGCATTAAGGTACTAATGTTATTTTTGTTTTGAAAAAATTGTTTGAATTGATTTTTTAGAGTTTGTAGAAGATGAATTAGAGAAGAAACACGTGTCAACAATGGGGAGGACCTCATGTCAAATTCTCATTGATTTGCCTAAGGAGCACCATTAGATTAGATTAGGAATATATTGTGTTGTCAACAAAAATTTGTAAATATGTTTGTAATTCTAGGTAATGGAATATCTTATGGGTGTCTGCAAATGAAAAGTATACTTAAGATATTAATAATATCTTAATGTTGTCGACAAACTAATAAGCAAGGGAGATCATATTTTCTATAGCATTATAACGTGACATGATTATGCAGTGGATATAAGATTAGTGAGCAATTTAAAGAACAAAGTAGAAACTGAGGGAGAGCAACTGTAAACATACCCTCTCCAATGAATACTCTGCTTCTCGGTATGAAAGGTCCTGTTGATCATCTCTTTGAGCCCAATTGTTCATGGATGCTACAAAGGACAACGTGTTTAGTTTGTCACAGTGAGTCACTCGCAATTCCTCCATGAATGGCCAATTCAAAGTGGGCAAATTAGGGCAAAAGCTCTTGAGCCGTGACATATCGTGTAACACTAGAGAGATTAGTTTTGGGAAAAGAACTTGAGCAATATTGGAGTGTGGAGTGTCATCTCCACTAGCGACCATTTCCTCGATCCCACAACACTCCACTCGAAGTTTCTTAAGTTGGGTAAGACTTGTAGCCACCCAATGCGGAAACAAATTTTCAAGGCTCTTACAATTTTGAACCTCCACTTCCCCTAAAAAGTCAAAAGTGAGAGTTTCTTGAGGACCGTCGGTCCATATTTTGCTTAAATTGTCCATGTGGGAGAGAACCATTGACTTAAGTTGAGGAAATTGTACCTGCCATATTGAAAAAAATGACACAATGAATGTGATTACATTGAGTTATGACCTCAAAGAAGGAATTTTCAAAACTTTCCTCGCTCTCACAAAACATGAGAATGCAAGAGCTTCTTAGTGATATAAACAAGGAGGGGCTAATTGATGCTTTCATTTCATTCAGTTGATTGATGAATAAGGCCAAGTATATTGCATTACAACAAGCATGAAATGATAAATGCATTTATAATCAATAGTACATTGAGCATTAGCTTTTGAGTGGCTTGATTGACATTTAATACTAGCAATGCCTTATCAGTTATCCCTTTAATTCTCGGAAAGTTGCCATGATGACTTCTTGGATTCTCGAACTTTCATGTTTGCCAATCACAAATAGAAGAAGGCCATTTTACTTGAGTGCTTAGGTGAATATTAAGAAATAGAAAGGTGCTTGCACTGATCATTATCAAAGTTTAGAGCACTCCTAGATGAACATCCAATTTGTCAGATTTGTTTGGAGCGGTCATTTTTAAAGTTGCTTGAACTGACTTTTGATAATTCAACATTAGATAAGGTGAGAATCTATTAGATTTAATTGCTTCAAGGTGAACATGCATCACAAATGGAGAAAAAGCAAGGGCAAGGTGATGACGAGCCATGAATAACGTGTGCAGAGAATTTAAGCAGCGTATATATTGATGAAGGAATGAATGAAACCAAAGCACGGCTCCACATTATTTCCTCTATTTACTAGGAGCACCGCTACTTATTCAACACTAATACTAATTGCGAACATTACTTACAAATCTTCTAATCAGTCAAGTTCACTAATGAGAAGCGTCTTGCAAATTTGATGGCAAACAAGAGTAAAAACAAAACTAACTTCAATTGTTTACAAGATTTTACAAGTTTTTTCTTTATTATGTACTGAATTTTTGTATTGAAAGAAAATAAATTCGTAAGAGGCACGGACAACGTAATGACTTCAATAAATAACGTATGTTAAGGTCTCAGGAAAAGCAAATTAATAACTTGCTTGAAATAATATTTATTCATTTTTGGGGTGGAAAAGTGAAAACAGAATCTTACGGTGGGCCAGTGATCCAACTGCTGGCAAAAAGTGGGTGCATAATAGGTAACCAATTTGCGTGGAGGCAAAACCAGAAGAAAGAAAAAACGAAAGTGGATGACCATATTATGCTTGTTTGGAGAAAACCAACTCTGCTTTTTTTACCGTGTAATGGCCTTGACGAAATGTCCATTGAGAAGCAAGTATTGATATTATTCATTTGGTTACAATAATATTAACGCAGTTACGATTTGTCACAACCGAAAAAACAGAATGACTTTCCACACTTCCCTAAGGGCTCTGTTCGTTTGGCGGAAAATATTTTTCTTTTGGAAAATATTTTCCCGGAAATCATTTTCCTGGAAAATGTTTTTCCGGAACATAATTTTCCGGTATTCGGCGACCAATATGAAAAAGTTTTGGAAAATATTTTTTGCCAGCAGCCGGCGGCGACGGCGGGCGGCGGTGGTGTCGGCCGGCGGCGGCGGGGGCGCGGCCGGCGGCGTCGGCGGCGGGTGACCGGGCGGCGCCGGCGGCCGGCGGCCGACGGGCGACGGCGGCGGCGGCCGGCGACCAACGGCGGTCGACGACCTTAGTGAAGAAAAAGAAGAAGAAACTCCGGAAAATGATTTCCGCTTTTGAAGAAGCGGAAGTCATTTTCCATAGACTTAAGCTATTTTGTGAGGGGGGAAGGAAAATATTTTCCCACGGAAAACGTTTTCCGCCCCCCAAACACCGGAAAACCCGGAAAATATTTTCCGGGAGAATATTTTCCGCCAAACGAACGGAGCCTAAATTTATTAATGTTCTTAATTGAGGATTTTGATGAGTTTTTGAAATTATCTAACCATGTGGGAGATATCTCTTATTACATGACGGCTCATATTTGACACAAAACGAAATTAACGCTATGACAACTTGTCACGACCAAAAAATCAGATGACTATTTTCATACCTTCCCAAATTCATTAGTATTCTTGATTGAGATTATGATGACTTTTTGAAATATCCTCAAAATGTGGGGATGCCTATTAATCATAGGATTTTAAAATTGTATTTATTTTATAAAGAAATTATCATACAATATATTTAACAAGTGTCTCGATTAACAATCCTTATTAACAACTTAGGTTAATATCATGCATTTCAGGTGCTTGAGGGGTCGTCATTTATTGCGTTTAGTATTTGTGAGACAGAATGGTAGTGTTGAACCGCCCACTGAATGTCTACTAAATATTATCCAGCTGTCATTTTCTCTCTTTTATTTTTTCCTTTTTACTTTTCTAGAAAAAGTAATCTGCCTTTTCTCTTCCCAAACATAGATTGTCCGCATTATCACACTAATTATCACTAAATACAATAATCCAGAATTACTAATTATTGTAAAACACAGTTTCATAATTTGATAGGCTATTCAAGTACAGTGATTCAAGTACGATTTACGAATGTAAAAGACGAAGTGCTTCACGCATATCGACCTTTTTTATTTATTTATTTTATTTATCAAGACCCGGTCAAGCATGGGTGAATATTAAGAAATAAAAAGTTGATTGCATCGATCATTATCGAAGTCTAGAGCACTCCAATTAAAAAGAGCCACTCTCTCTAATTCCTCCAAATTTATCGATTGGGAAGATGATTATGGTACAATGAGCTGTAATAGCTAAGCAATTTGTGAAACTGGGTTTTTACAGTTATGAAGCTTTCTTTTCCCCCTTTCTTCATGTTCGATAGAACGACGCGAGTTCGCTTCTGCGCAAGAAAATACGAAGTGGCAATACGGACATCTTTTTTTGCCATTTTTAGATGCTATTCTATGTTCAGTACTTTATAGTTCAAATTGTAAAATGTAAATGTTTTTATGTGGTTATTGTGATAGCTTTATAAGAACCTCGTTAATTAATTCTAGAGTATTGCGCACGATATGATTTTATGAGCCGACACAAGACTAACACTTCTAAAAAAGATATGGAGATGTACAATTAATAGTTATATTTGCTGAGGATAAGAGAATTGTTTATCTATGTACTAAAGATTTAAAGATTATGTACATAAATCCGTAGAAAGCACGGGAATGCTGCTAGTTATTAGACATTTACTTATAATTAGATGATTTTGAATCCGTAGATATGTACCAAATGTCTGAATTGTTTGGCATTAAAAATTTACGGATGTGATCATGGACTCCTGTGGGGAGGTAAATATTCTATACGTCTTTGTTCAGGTACAAAACACGAGTCCCGACTAAATTTGAGCAAAGCACCGATGACTGATATTACGAACATTTATATCTATCATTTTTGTCCAATTCTACGAGAATATGTTACATATGAAATGCCAAAAATGCATTAGCTTGAAAAAACTGACCTGTGGAGTGAAAAGCGAAGGGGTGCCGTGGCCAATCTCCATCAAAGATTGCCAAGTCAAACTTTTTATCTTGGGGCAGTGGGCAATGGTCAACTCTTCCAATTCGGGACATTCCAGCGTATGATTCTTTCCCAAGAGGAAACCAGTCAAATTGGGCAAGCATTCCAGCGTCAAGTATTCCAAATTCGGGAATGTAATCTTCTCCACGGCGCTTCCCTGCCCTTCTCCGTCTGTGATCACTCCTTCCATCTGACCACACTCCTTTATTTCAATTCTCCATAGATGGGCAAGGCACCGAGCCATCGATGGAGTGAAAGCATGTCCCAAGTTGCTGCAATTATAAATCTTGAGAACATGTAGAGAATCGAAGCGCAACCATTCTTGAAGATCTTTGTTCCATAGTCGCCTCAACTTTGGTAGATTGACCAAGTTCAATTCCAGTAGCCGAGGCAGCACCCAAGTACTTTCCATAGCCTCTAGCCCTTCCTGATTGAATATTTCTTCTAGTGACTTGCAATCGCGCACTTGCAAAAAGCGCAAATTGTCTAAAACGAGCATCAATTTGGATGGAATTGCCTTAATAAATGATGGACATTTATCCACCGTCAATGATTCTAATTGCCAAGATGACTTGATGGGATTAAGTTCGCTATGCCATTTTCCAATTAGATCGGGGAGCTCAGATAGCAGCATTTTCTTTACTCCAGCAAACATACCCTGTCAAAAAATTGCATCATTAAACGTAAACTTCTGGTTAGCAAAAATCGATTATTCTATTCATGATCAAAACCATTCAATTGCACAGAATTTGGTCAATGATGCGTACCATTTCTTCAAACATATTTTGGATGGTGATGTTGAGGTCTTCGTTCCAAAACCACGCTGCTGCTGCATCTCTAGCTACTCGTACTCTCTTTAGCTTTGGCGCCTCTATTGGTCCTATAGAGAAGAAATTCATGTGGAAACATCCGGTCACAATGACATCTTCCGGGAGAGGGAACATCAAAGTGTATCCATTCTCACACTTTACGCGAGAGAAGCATGTCAAACTTTTCAAATATGTTAAGGATAAATCAGTTAACATCGGGAATGCCACAGTTCCTAATGTTTCCATTCCCAACCCTTCTTCCTCCGTAATGATTGCCTCCATCTTCTTGCAATACCCTACCGTTATTTTCTTTAGTTGTGCGAGAGATTCAACCATGGATGGGGAAAACATAAACCCGAGGTTATCCAAGCGAGTGATTTCTAATGTCTCCAATCTCGGGAAGGCAACCTGCGGAATTCGCTCACGGAATTGGTAATTTTGTTAAATCTCGAATCCATGAATTTCCAAGATGTAAATATAGATGAGTGTGAAGGGGAGAGGGGGATTATTAAGTTGCACAAAAGGAAAAAAAAAAGGAAGTAAAAAAAAATCTCCATACTAAATACTGTTTCTAGTTTCCAAGAGTATTTCATAGAATTACATAAAGTTATCTATATAAAGTAATCACTAAAAAAAAGGATAAGGAATCTTTCTCTAGTCTTTTCTTGGGCAAATAACTTTGAATTAGCAGAGCTTATTTTGATTAGTTAACCAGTTTTATTCAATCTGAAGATTTTCTCCTTCAGAAATGGGTTAGCGAGCGGTGCATTACTTATCTCTCTCTCTGCATATAATAAAGCAAACTCAACAATACTTTCGACCTTAACTTTTGGCCCCAAAAGTTCAAATAATATGATACAAGGCCACTGTCTAACGAGAACTACGGCTAAAGTTAAAAACCCTAAAGACTAGGGCGATTAAGAAAAAGCGAAGCAGCAAGGGCTCTTTATGAAAATTTCCCGTTCTAGTTCCATTATCTTTGCCACACAACTCGGAAGAGGAACAGATGTACTAAAAAACACTACGTCGTGGGACCCACAACTTATAATCCAGGACCCTTGACTGACGGGGAAACTAAGACATTGCATGTATCCCTAATTACAATGGAAAGTTTTACTTTCTGTTGTTCTTTTTTTCTTTTCTTTCTTTTTTTTTTGTAAAGAGTAACTAGTCTTTTCCAAAAGCTCATTTTTATAACTCTAGAATATCCTTCATCTGTAAAGTTGCTCGCAATGTCCCCATCTACCTCGCCATCACCCATCGCTCTCATCCATACAACAAGTTTTAATTTTTTTATGTTTTGTTCATTAGGACTATTGTCATCCCTAGCTATATTACGATGAAAAAAAAAAAAGCAAAGCAGCAAAGGCTCTTTGCAAAGTTTCCTCGATCTAGTTCCATTATCTTTGAAAGCGAGCTCTCTTCATGGAAGCTCAAAGCATGAGAAGAAGATAAAGTCGTACTCAGACTCACTGGCATGTGGGACCCGCTACTTAAATTTCCACGGCCCTTTATTGGCAGGGGAAAACTAACATATTGCAAGAGTCTTGGGCCCCACCATCAACTCCAATGATAATCGTGCCATTATAAAAAGGGCAATCTTGTCTAGTCTCGACTGCATCTTGGCATGATGCTTCTAACTGTGGGTTGAAATTTTGCTAAAGGCTCCAAGCATTCGCCTGAAAATTGTTTCATTTTAACCTTTCATAGAATTGGTGATTCTGTTAAATTACGAATTCATGAACTTTCAAGATGCAAATATTGATGAGTGCCAAGATGTAAATTATGAATTCACGGAATTGGTGTTTTTGTCTTAAGTTGCATTAAAGGAAATAAAAAGAATAAAATAGGAAAAGTTAGCAAAAAAAATCTCCATACTTACGTCGATGACTCTAGGACGAGAAGGCTATTGGTATTACTAGAGACAAAATAAAAAGTAGGAATTCTGACTTGATTCTGTTGACAATGGGCAAAATGGTAATTTGGATATGCTCAAATAACAATTTTATAATCACCACAGTAGTCTCTCATTAATCCCGAACGTAAATAAAATCTCTTCCTCTCTTCAATTTAGTTCATTTCCTAAAATAATCAAATCACACTTTGTGCTTTTCTTGCCAGCCCAAGAATCAAATAGCTAGTAAATTGATGAAGAAAAGTGCAGCTAAGAGAAAGAAGATGATGGAGAGATTGAGATTAAAGAGAGGCGACCCAATCAACCATCAAATGGCCCACTACAGAAGGAGGTGTGATTTTATCTACTGCCGAGGGCCTCAAATCAATATTATATCACTCTAAAGCAATTAAAAAGTTGGGCTAAGAGAAAGCACTTAAAAAGGGAATTGCCTGGGTCAAATGAACAATTCTTATTTACATCATTCCACACTTTGAAAGAATTGAATATACTTAAATTGATGAAATTTTCTTTTTAAGATTCGTTAATTTTTTGTAAGAGTGCCGGATGATCCAATTGTTTAATTTAAAAACCATAAATCATACATTTACTCGAGCCAAATTGTCGAAGATAGTCCTCAATATCTCACTAAATAGTCAAGCAATTCGTGTAAAAACTAAAAAGGGTGATTTCTAAAGCCCTGGACGCAAGAGATCTTGCTCAGTTTGGCGATGGAGAGGGCTCGGATTCCTTTTGATGGTGCAATTAAGAGAGAGTAAAGCTTCCTTCGATTAAGAAAAAAAAGTGAGATCTTGTAAGTGCGAATTAAGTCGAGTGCGCGTCTTAAAGGCCCTTCATCTCCAGCCTCTTGAACCTTACAGCTCACTTTCCACTCTATTGGATTTTCAATTGCTTTCAATCTACATGCGTGCAATGTCTAAGCCGTACATGCTAGGTCGCTGAGAGTTTTAAGTTTCTTGTGAATATCGGAAAGCCTTCTAGAAATCCTGTTCCGCAGCTATATTACCCGTTCATGCTTCGTGCAGGTACTGTAAGAGAAATATTTCTAAAGTTATCTAAAGTAATCACTAGAAAAAAGATACGAAATATTTCTTCAGTCTTTTCTTGGGCAAATAACTTTGAATTGTAGAGGTTAATTTGATTAGTGAACCAATTTTATTCAATCTGAAGATTTTCTCCTTCAGAAATGGGCTAGTAAGTGGTGCATTACTTATTTCTCTCTGTATATAATAAAGCAAACCCAACGATACTTTTCAACCTTAACTTTTGACCCCAAAAGCTCAAATAATATGCAAGGCCAGTGTCCAATGAGAACTACAGGGAAAGTTAAAAGCCCCAAAGACTAGGAGGAGGAATAGACGTAGTCAAACAAACAAGGTCGTGGGACCCACAGCTTATATAGTCCAAGATCCCTAGAATAACGGGGAAACTAAATATTGCATCCGTCTTGGGCCCCACCATGAACTTAAGTGACAATCCCCACATATGAAGGGCAATCTTGTATGGTCAACGAAATAGCTGCCGGCAATTTTTGTTGGACAAAATAGCCGTGCCCTATCCTTAAGTGCCCAATCTCTGTTACGGCTTTGTGCAGCTATCCTGACAAATTTTCAACCATCTTTATGGAAACTATTTCTGAAGAAATTAAAAGTAAGAAATTGCGACTCATACATGTCAGCAACTCTAAAACACTTATGCTTGCACGCCACTCATTTTCTTCTAAAAAATTTTAACCAAACTATACTGTATAATTAATTTGGTCCGTTTTTATTTTGGCTATGTTTTGTCTCCGTTGTATTTAATAATTTGACATTTCACGTACCTCTCGATTGAAGAGTACAGTGGAGCATGATTGGACGCGATCCTGACTCCGAGCTTCTCGTGAACCTATCATCAGTTTGTCATTGGATGAAAAGAATGTCACCATTTGTATTGTAGGGGTGATTTCTATCTACACAAAAATTTTCACTGATAAAAACAAAAAATCAATCTTACACTTTCCGCGAGAGAAGCACGTCAGACTCTCCAACCATTCTAAGCTTAAATCGGTTAACATCGGGAATAACAAAGTTTCTGATGTTTCCATTCCCAACCCTTCTTCCTCCGTGATGATTGCCTCCATCTTCTCGCAGGACTGTACACTTAGTTTTTTTAGTTGTTCGAGAGATTTAACCATGGATGGGAAAAACATAAACCCGAAATTATCCAATTGAGTGATTTCTAATGTCTCCAATCTCGGAAAGGCAACCTGCGGAATTCGCCCACGGAATCGGTGATTTGGTTAAATCTCGAATCCACGAACTTTCAAGATGTAAATATAGATGAGTGCGAAGGGGAGAGGGGGATTATTAAGTTGCACAAAAGGAAAAAAAAAGGACTTAGAAAATCTCCATACTAATACCATTTCTAATTTCCTACAATATTTTTTATAGAACAACAGAAAGTTATCTAAAGTAATCACTAAAACAAAGATAAGAAATCTTTCTCCAGTCTTTTGTTGGGCAAATAACTTTGAATTGCAAAGCTTAATCTAATTAGTGAGCCAGCCAATCTGAAGATTTCTCCTTCAAAAATTCGTTAGCAAGTGGTGCATTACTTATCTCTCTCTATATATAATAAAGCAAACCCAATAATAGTTTCAACCTTAACTTTTTGGGCCAAAGACTGGGAAGAGGAATAGACGTACTCAGACTCACTACCTCGTGGGACCCACAACTTATGGTCCCTTGACTGATGGGGAAACTAAGATATTGCATGCGTCTTGGGCCCCACCATAAACTTTAGTGACAACCGCGTCATTATAGGAGGGCAATTTTGTCAGGTCAACGAAATAGCTGCGGCAATTTTTGCTGGACAAAATAGCCGTGCGCTTTCCATGACTGGCCAATTTTGGTTCATGCTTCGTGTAGGAACCATAAGAGACGTTCAATCATCTTTGTGCAAACTATTTCTAGAGAAATTAAAAGTAAGAAATTGCAACTCATGCATGTCGGCAACTCTGAACACTAATGCCTTGTACCCCGCTCATTTTCTTTTAAAGTTTTTTAAACAAAGTATACTCTCTAAGCAATTTGGTTAGTTTTTATTTATTTATTTTGGCTATGCTTTATCTCTGTTATATTTAATATTTTGACATTTTACGTACCTCTTCATTGAAGAGTATAGCGGAGCGTGATTGGACGTGGTCTGGACTCCGAGCTTCTCGTGAACCTGTCATTAGTATGTCATTGGATGAAAAAAATGTCATCATTTGTATTGTAGGGATGATTTCTATCTACACGAAGATCTTCGCCAATGAAAACAAAAAATCAATCTTACACTTTTCGCGAGAGAAGCACGTTAGACTTTTCAACCATTCTAAGCACAAATCGGTTAACATCGGGAATGCCAAAGTTTCTAATATTTCCATTCCAAACCCTTCTTCCTCCGTGATGATCGCCTCCATATTATCACAATGTCGCACCGTTAGATCTCTCAATTGTGTGAGAGTTTTAATCATGGATGGGAAAAACATAAACCTGAGGTTGTCACAGAGATCCACCTTTAACTTCTTTAAATAATGGAAACTCACTATTCCACAAGGACTCTTGTTCCATATGCGCCTCAAGCTCCGCATTTTATTTAATTCCAAGGTGGTTAACTCAGAGACAGTCTCAACATTTCCACTACCACTTGCTCCGTCAAGGTCAAAAATATCTTGCACCGAGACGCAATCTTCGACAGTTAAAGTGTGCAACTTATGTAGTTTTACCAGCGACCTGGAGCTGACAACCTTCAAAAGAGATTCGCACCGCACCACTTTGAGAGATTGGAGATTGCTCAGCTCCAATGGAGATTCATCGCTCCATATCTCTTTCAGATTGGGAAGTCCTTCAATTGTCAAGGACTCCAAGGATGGGATTGAAACCTGACAGACAAAACCATCAGCTACAGAATTTACAATTACAAAGGACGGGTAGGAAATTTACATGCTATAGTGGGTTATGATAAACAAAAGCTTGTTTACAATACAAAAAAGGAATTTTACGACCCCAAAAGGCAACTAGTGGACTTTACCATTTATTTACAATGTAACAAGGATGTACCGATTAGATTTTATTTGTAGTTACCTAACAATAAGGGAAATTATAGTCACCAAGAATTAGCACTCATTCAGTTTACTCATGACAATGAAATTAGTTACCCATAAATCAAAAAGTACTTTCAAGCTAAATCACTTCCTGTAAGGTAAGCTCATATAACCTATCCCCAATTAATCGTCCTTCTTGTTGTAATTTCCTTAAGGGTGAGTCTAAATCCGCAGCCTACATATCAACCATAAAATTTTCGGTGAAAAGACGCAATTGTCCCTAAGAACGGGGGAAAGTTTTACTTTCTGTTTTTCTTTTTCTTTTTTTTTGTAAAGAATAATTAGTCTTTTCCAAAAGCTCATTGTTATAACTCTAGAATATCCTTCATCTGCAAAGTTGCTCGCAATGTCCCCATCTACCGCGCCATCACCCATCGCTCCCATACATACAACAAGTTTTAATTTTTTTTTTGTTTCGTTCATTTGGACTATTGTCATCCCCAGCTATATTATGATGAAAAAAAATAAAAAGAGCAAAGCAGCAAAGGCTCTTTGCAAAGTTTCCTCGATCTAGTTCCATTATCTCTGAAAGCGAGCTCTCTTCATGGAAGCTCAAAGCATGGGAAGAAGATAAGTCGTTCTCAGACTCACTGGCATGTGGGACCCACTGCTTAAATTTCCACGGCTCTTTATTGGCAGGGGAAACTAACATATTGCAAGAGTCTTGGGCCCCACCATCAACTTCAATGATAATCGCGCCATTATAAAAGGGCAATCTTGTCTAGTCTCGACTGCATATTGGCATGATGCTTCTAACTGTGGATTGAGATTTTGCTAAGGGCTCCAAGCATTCGCCGGAAAAATTGTTTCATTTTAACCTTTCATAGAATTGGTGATTCTATTAAATTACGAATTCATGAACTTTCAAGATGCAAATATTGATGAGTGCCAAGATGTAAATTATGAATTTACGGAATTGGTGTTTTTTTCTTAAGTTGCATTAAAGGAAATAAAAAGAATAAAATAGGAAAAGTTAGTAAAAAAATCTCCATACTTATGTCGATGACTCTAGGACAAGAAGGCTATTGGTATAAAAAGTAGGAATTCTGACTTGTTGACAATGGGCAAAATGGTAATTTGGATATGCTCAAATAACAATTTTATAATCACCACATTAGTCTCTCATTAATCCCAAACGTAAATAAAATCTCTTCCTCTCTTCAATTTAGTTCATTTCCTAAAATAATCAAATCACACTTTGTGCTTTTTTTCCCAGCCCAAGAATCAAATAGCTAGTAAATTGATGAAGAAAAGTGCAGCTAAGAGAAAGAAGATGATGGAGAGATTGAGATTAAAGAGAGGCGACCCAATCAACCATCAAATGGCCCACTACAGAAGGAGGTGTGATTTTATCTACTGCCGAGGGCCTCAAATCAATATTATATCACTCTAAAGCAATTAAAAAGTTGGGCTAAGAGAAAGCACTTGAAAAGGGGATTGCCTGGGTCAAATGAACAATTCTTATTTACATCATTCCACACTTGAAAGAATTGAGCATACTTAAATTGATGAAATTTTCTTTCTAAGATTCATTAATTTTTCGTAAGAGTGCCGGATGATCCAATATTGTTTAATTTAAAAACCATAAATCATACATTTACTCGAGCCAAATTGTCGAAGATAGTCCTCAATATCTCATTAAATAGTCAAGCAATTCATGTAAAAACTATAAAGGGTGATTTCCGAAGCCCTGGACCCTAGAGATGTCGCTCAGTTTGGCGATGGAGAGGGCTCAGATTCCTTTTGCTGGTGCAATTAAGAGAGAGTAAAGCTCCCTTCGATCAAGAAAAAAAAGTGAGATCTTGTGAGTGCGAATTAAGTCAAGTGCACGTCTCAAAGGCCCTTCATCTCCAGCCTCTTGAACCTTAGTGCTCACTTTCCTCTCAATTGTTTTTTCATTTTCTTTCAATCTTCATGCGTGCAATGTCTTGAGCCGTACATGTGAGGTTGCTGAGAGTTTTAAGTTTCTTGTGAGAATCGGAAAGCTTTTAGAAATCCTGTTCCGCATTTGAATTACCAGTTCAAGCTTTGTACAGGTACCATAAGAGATGTTCGGCCATCTTTTATGGAAACTACTTCCAGAGAAATTAAAAGTAAAAAATTGCAATTCGTGCATGTAGGCAACTGTGAACACTTATTTTCTTTTAAGATATTTTATCCAAAGTATACTTCGTAAGTGATTTAGTTTTTATTTTGGCTATGTTTAATATTTTGACGTAATGTTAAACGCGTACCTCTCGATTGAAGAGTGCAGTGGAGGGTGATTTGATGCGGTTCTGACTCTGAGCTTCTCGGTAACCTGTCATCGATTTTTCATTGGATGAAAAAAATGTCACCATTTGTATTGTAGGGATGAATCTGTCTACAATAAGAACTTAATTGATGAAAACAACAAATAATCTCACACTTTACGCGAGAGAAGCACGTCAAACTTTCCAAATATGTTAAGGATAAATCAGTTAACATCGGGAATGCCAGAGTTCCTAATGTTTCCATTCCCAACCCTTCTTCCTCCGTAATGATTGCCTCCATCTTCTTGCAATACCCTACTGTTATTTTTTTTAGTTGTGCAAGAGATTCAACCATGGATGGGGAAAACATAAACCCAAGGTTATCCAAGCGAGTGATTTCTAATGTCTCCAATCTCGGCAAGGCAACCTGCGGAATTCGCTCACGGAATTGGTAATTCTGTTAAATCTCGAATCCATGAACTTCCAAGATGTAAATATAGATGAGTGAGAAGAAGAGATGGCGATTATTAAGTTGCGCAAAAGGTAAAAAAAGGAGTAAAAAAATCTCCATATTAAATACCGTTTCTAATTTCCTAGAGTATTTCATAGAATTACAGGAAGTTATCCATAAGTAAACACTAAAAAAAAGATACGAAATATTTCTCCAGTCTTTTCTTGGGCAAATAACTTTGAATTGTAGAGGTTAATTTGATTAGTGAACCAATTTTATTCAATCTGAAGATTTTCTCCTTCAGAAATGGGCTAGCAAGTGGTACATTACTTATCTCTCTCTGTATATAATAAAGCAAACCCAACAATACTTTTCAACCTTAACTTTTGACGCCTAAAAGTTCAAACAATATGCAAGGCCTCTGTCTAAGGAGAACCAAGGCGAAAGTTTAAAAAGCCCCAAAGACTGGGAAGAGGAACATACATACTCATACTCACTACCTCGTGGGATCCACAACTTATGGTCCACGATCCCTTGACTGACGGGAGGAAACTGTGATATTGCATGCGTCTTGGGCCCCACCGTGAACTTTAGTGACAACCGCGTCATTATAGAAGGGCGAGTCTAAGGTGCTGCATGAAAACCATTCTGGTTCTGTCCAGAACTGGTTTTTTGTTCCCAGAATCAGTTTTGGATCAGAAACCCGTTTGGTAACGTAATTTCATTTTTCTATTTTCGGGACAAGTTTGCTTCCAAAACTGATTCTGAAACCAGAAATGAGAACCAAAAAAAAGTTGGTTTTTCATTTCTGGAACAAAAGTGAGAACCATTTCTGAGGAATTCATTTTCTTCAACACACATATTCATATGGAAGTCACGATCTTTGAGGTGAGAAAAAAAAGCAGAAAATCAAAAATTTCAAAACTTAACATAATGGTTTAGAATCTGTGGCTACCCACTTTCAGTGAAATTTAAATTTTTTTAGGTACCGAAAAAAATAAATAAAAATAAAAAATAAAAAATTTCACAAAATGGCTTAAAAAACCTATGACCACCCACTTTGAGCAAAATTTAATTTTTTTAATTGCCAAAAAACAAAATAAAAAATAATAAAAAATTCTAAAATTTAAAAACTTCACAGAATATCTTAGAATACCTGTGGCCACCCAATTTGAGCGAAATTTTATTTTTTTAGGTGCCGAAAAAAATAAAAAAATAAAAAAATCAAAAATTTCAAAACTTCATAGAATGGCTTAGAACACTTGTGGCCATCCACTTTGAGTGAAATTTAAATTTTTTTAGGTGCCGAAAAAAATAAAAAAAATAAAAAATTTCAAAACTTCACAGAATAGCTTAAAATATCTGTGGCCACCCACTTTGAGTGAAATTTAATTTTTTTTATATGCCAAAAAAATAAAAATAAGCAAAAAAGTAAAAATTTCAAAACTTTACAGAATGGCTTAAAATACCTGTGGTCACCCACTTTGAGCGAAATTTTATTTTTTTAGTTGCCAAAAAAAATTAAAAAATTAAAAATTTCAAAACTTCACAAAATGGCTTAGAATACCTGTGGCCATCCACTTTAAGCGAAATTTAAATTTTTTTAGGTGCCGAAAAAAATAAAAAAATAAAAAATAAAAAACTTCACATAATTGCTTAGAATACCTGTGGCCACCCACTTTGAATGAAATTTAATTTTTTTTAGGTTTCGAAAAAAAAAGAAAAATTTTCAAAACTTCACAGAGTGGCTTAGAATACATGTGGTCATCCACTTTGAGTGAAATTTAATTTTCTTTAGGAACCAAAAAAAATAAAAAAAAATAAAAAATACCATTTGGGCATCTAAAAAAAATTAAATTTTACTCAAAGTGGGTGGCTAGAGGTATTGTAAGTCATTCTGTGAAGTTTTGAAATTTTTTATTTTTTGCTTTTTTTTCACCTCCAAAAATTAAAATTTCACTCAAAGTGGGTGGCCACAGGTATTCTAAGCCATTCTGTAAAGTTTTGAAATTTTTGAGTTTTTGAATTTTTTTGGGCACCTTAAAAAATTTAAATTTTACTCAAAGTGGGTGGCCACATGTATTCTAAACTATTCTGTGAAGTTTTGAAATTTTTGATTTTTTGATTTTTTTTGGGCACCTAAAAAAATTTAAATTTCACTAAAAGTGGGTGGCCACAGGTATTCTAAGCTTTCTGTGAAGTTTTGAAATTTTTGATTTCTTGATTTTTTTTGAAAAAATTCAACAAATTTCCTATTTTCCTGAAATCTAAATTTTTTTTATTTTCTCGACATTTTGATGATTTTTCTGGAATTTTTCAATTTTTTGGGATTTTCTGAATTTTTTTAAAGATTTTTATGAATTTTTCGGATTTTTTATTATTTTTATTCCATTTCTAAAAAAATGGATTTTTGTTCCTGGAAATAGAATTTTCTATTGTTTATCAAACGGGTTTTTATTTCAGGAAATAGAAATTTTGTGCTGTTATCAAACGGGTTTCTGTTCTAGAAATAGAAATTGTTGGTCGTTATCAAACGGGTTTTTTTTCTCAGAAACTCATCCAGGAACCAGAAATAGAAAAATCTATTTCTGGTTCAGGAACTCATTCCGGAACAGAATGGTTATCATGCGAACCCTAAATCCGCAGACCATAACATTTTAGGTAAAAAGACCCAATTGTCCCTGATTACAATGGAAAGGTTTATTTTTTGTTTTTTATATATATATTTTTTATAAAGAGTCGATAGCTTTTTCCAAAATTTCATTGCTACAACTCTTAAGAAAATCCTTCATCTGCAAAGTTGATCACCCATCTACCTCGCCATCACCCATCGCTACCATCGATACAACAAGTTTTAACTTTTTTGTATTTCATTCATTGGACTATTGTCATCTCCAACAAGATTACGACAAAAAAAAAAAAGAAAAAGAAAGTAAAGCTGCAAAGGCTCTTTGCAAAATTTCCCCAATCTAGTTCTATTATCTTCGGAAGCGAGCCACAACTGGGAAGAAGAAAGTCATACTTAGACACATTAACTTATGGGACCCACAACTTATATGTCGACGACCCTTTATTGATTGATGGAGAAACTACCATATTGCAGGAGTCTTGAGATCCACCGTCAACTTCAGTGATAATCACGACATAGAAAGGGATAATCTTGTCTAGTCAACGAAATAGCCGTGGCAATTTTTGCTAGACAAAATAGTCGTGCGCTTTCCTTAACTGCGCAATTGTTTGCCTATAGTTTACAAACTTCTCTTTAATGTTAGTAAATCACTCTCAATAACCAATTTAACAGGATATCAAACACAACTTTGTGGATTTTGTGTTTGTGACGCCAAATGTACTTACAAATATATCTATACATACTATATGGGTGCACGAACATGCACACAACTATGTACTGTTATAATTATGAGGTATATGCAATGACTAAGTGCTTATTTAAGCATGATACACAAAAACGTGCATCAATTAGATTAGCATAGTTGATTTTATTTCAAAACCCGATCGTCCTTCCCATTTTTGGCATTGGTTTTTAAGAGTCACCTATATTGCACATTTTGGGGATAATAACTAAGTTTCATAACTAAATTCAATGGAATCCATTTTAAAAGATTAGAAATAACTTTACTTATGATATTACTTTAATGCCAAAAAATTCCCTTCAATTTTACTTTATGAAGCCCTATCAATATAGATATACTTGCAGAATGTAAATTTAAAGTAGCTTGGAACCTATCACAAACTAAATTTACAAGGATTTCATACAATTAGTTGGATTTCTACTCAATTAGCAGAAACAGGAGATTGCTTCTTTTAATTACAGGGAAGGCATGAACGGACCAGGCAATGAGGAAGAAAATAAATAGAAAATAACAAATTGAATAAGCAACATAATCTGTGTTACATCCAATTAGCAAAGGAAATAAATAATTAATACTCTTTTAATAGAAAGTTACTTGTTGTCCATTGAAGAATGCAATTTGAGTGGCAACTTGGTCGTCTGATGTACTACCCGAAGGAGCCGACCCAGTCGTGAAAAAATTCTTGATGTTTGGCAAGTCACGCAATTTCAATACACTGTTACTCCTAAACTTTTACTTATTACATAAATTCCTTAAACTTTGATTTTATTGTGGATGTCAACCCTTTGTGCATTTTACCATTGGTATGTGCTTTACATGTGATTTTTAACCAGTAAAGTTGCAATTCTTCTGTATTTGTATTAGTCAAATCACGCTTTGGCCTCCCAATGCGCTTAATTAGTTAAAGTCCAAAATATATACAGAAAAATAAGGTAAAAGAAAAGCAACAAAAAATTAAGACAAAAATTTATAATAATATGGTTGACTTCATGAAGAGCTAAAATTTTAGTAGGCTTTCAAATATATCCCAAGCATTTAAAACTATCATAGAAATGTCAAAATATTGTATTTCATTTTGCATATGGGCCTCCACAATTAGCTATTTAAAAGGACCATGGATGATAAAACCACATAGCTATATATGCTCTATCGTAATCTTCAACAACAAGTACCATAATTTATCTAAACGGAAAAGAAAATTTAAAAAAAGAAGAGTTAAGAAAAAACTAAATAATTAAATGAGGGCTTAAGTAACTAGAAAACGGGAAATCACAAAAAAAATCAAATTGGGCTTTTATTCAATTAAGAAGAAAATAATTTACATAACATGGATAAATCAAACCACAAGTTACCAAGGCGAGCAACACCCACTTTGCCAGGGGCAGTGGGGCATTTTCAATAAAAAATGCGAAACAAGATAAACAGCTCTATTAAAGCAAACTAATTAAACTCGACGAAAAAATAGAAAATAAATGAAGGATTGCTATTTTTTTGTCATCATACTATTCTTTTTCCTAGAATTGAAAAGATGTAGATCTAAAAAATAGTATGACGACAAGAAATAATAATTAAATGATGATGATGATGATGATAGTTGTAGTAGTAGTTATTATGTTAATAAGTACTCCTAGGGCACCGCGTAACTGAATAATTCAGTTTTCAAGGCACAAATTTTGTATAACATGAAGACGATTAATTGATTGGAAACTGTAAATTTTTCTTAATTAGTTTCTCAACAAGTGCCTCAAGTTGGGGGCGAAAGAGTAATTTCCTTTTGAACCCAGCGAAAGAGTCATCTAAAAAATAGAGAAGATTACAATTCTACCCTTGAAAAATCACATAATGGGCACTCGCAAACGGAAAAATTGACGAAGGGTTGATGGCTCAAGGGATTTTGGGTGAAGGTTGAAAGTCCAAGAGTAAATGTGTACCGCTCTAAAACTTCCATGGGGGATTTCGTGTAATATTTCCTAAAAGTTGCTCACTAATGCCTACAACCACGAGATATTAAACATAAATTGGGGGCGCTTGTGATGCCAAAAGTGTGCACAAATATACCTATATGTATTGTACGTGTGCATGAACATGCACAAAATTCTGCACTCTTATAATTATGGGGCCTATAAAATGATTAAGTGCTTATTTAAACACGACGCATGAAAGACGCGCATCAATTAGGTTGATATGGTTGCTTTTATCTATAGACCCGGTCCTCCTTCCCATTCTTCATATTGGTTTTTACGAGTCACCTATAGTATATACTTTGATGGATAATAACAAAGTTCAATGACTAAATTCAATGGAATCCATTTCACAAGATTCAAAATTACTTTATTACGGAATTACTTTAATGCCAAAATTCCCTTTAAAGTTGCTTTATCGAACCCTATTAATATAAAATATGCTTGCAGCATGTAAGTTGAAAATAACTCAGAACCTATCACAATCTAAATTTGCATGGATTTCATACAATTAGTTGGATAATAACGGAAGATTGCTTCACATGATCGCAGAGAAGGCATCATCGGATAAGGTACTTAGGAAGAAAATGAACCGAAAATAAAGAAATGATTAAGCATTATAATCCATGTCACATCTAATTAGCAAACGAAGGAAAGATAACTATAATTTCCTTTGATAGAAAGTTACCTGTTGCCTATTGAAGAACGCAACTTGAGTGCCAACTTGGTCGTCCGATGTACTGCTCGAAGGAGCTGTCCGGACAGCAACAAAGTTCTTGATACTTGGCAAGTCATGCAATTTCAATACGTGCAAGTTATGCAACTCAACTTGACCACAATCATCATCTTTTACAATCCCCTTCATTACCTTGCATCTGATAACTTCGATCTCTTTTAGCTGTGGAAGTTCTCTTAGTAATGAAAGGGGAAACAGATGTTTCATCTTGTCACATCTATCAACTCGTAGGACTTTTAATGCACTGAAGGACTTGGAGGAGATATCATTGTGGCATAACTTCTCCAAGTTGATCAAATTCCCTAGAAATAAAAACTCCAATGTCTTAAAAGTGGGAAGGGAAGACCGTTTGAGGATGTAACGGATGGAAGGACTTTCCTGAACATGTAAACGCTTTAATTGTGGAAAACCTTCTAGGGATAACTGGCAAATGCTTTGCTCTATTCCGTTCAACCCATCCAACCACAAATCGTCAATTATGTGTAAAGTAGTTCGTATGCATCCTTTTTGAAGAATATTACTTGTTGGATTCAACTTGAGCTCCAATGTCCTTGATCGTTCGTACTTGTTTAACCAGCGCCAGTCATTGAAGTCATAAAGATGACCGATTTTGAGTTTGTACTTGGTCAATTTCTCGATATTTAGATCCCCTGGGAGCACACTCTGGTCGGGAATGGAAACATGCAAAGTGCAAAGATTCTTCATGTGATTCAACTCAATCAGACTGGCATTAGTTCGTGGAGTTTGATCCACGGCATTCCATCGTTCAAAGCTACCCTCCATGTACAACTCCTCCAATTTGATCAAGCTTCCAAGCACACCTGGTTCAATTATCTGAAGATTGGAACAATAATTCAAGTCTAACAACCTCAGCTCTACTAATTGCCCAATTTCTTTCGGCAATCGCTGAATATTGGAGTTCACAAGGCTGAGAATTCGTGGCCCTTTTAGCTCCCCAAGAATGGCTGCATCCTCTAATAAACAACTATGAAGACACAAAGTTCGTAAGTTCTTTTGGAACTGAAACAGTGATGGCAAAGGAGCGAGATGTATCCCAACAAGATTTAAGACCATGAGTTTCCTCATTGAGTAAAATAATGAATTTGGGATCTCAAGAGATTCATTGTTTGTGAACAACAAAAGGATCTGCAATTCAGGGCAATCTAATTCTTGGAGAAAATCCTCCACGTCAACATAGGGAAAGCATATCGCCTTACAACTTTTGAGCTGCAACTTTGTTACCGACTTATCATTATCTTTCAACACGAGAAGCGGATGATCACTTGAAGCGACCGAGGCAACAAACTCACGAACCAAGTCATGTATCTTGAAACCATAAGCGTCTCCATCCTCTAACAAGAGGGAGGAGGCTTGAAGAGCACGAATCCCTGATCTCAAACTATCTCTAGCGTCTTCCATGTTGTTATCTTCTCGAAATAACCCCCAACCCACACCGAACCTCACCAAGTTTTCAAGAGAGGGCTGAGAGATGCCATAAGCAACACAGAGTGCTAACAATGACCTATCTGCGTCTTTTAAATGATCATAACTCAACTGCAACATGTTATTTATCACCTCACCAAGTCCTTCGTTTTTAGACAACTTGATTTGTTTCAAAACATTCTTCCATTCGGATAAACCAGCGTGTTTATAATGTTTTGCCAAATTGACAATTAGAAAAGGCAAACCTGCACATTTGTGGAGTGCTTCATCCACCAAGGATTTGAACGTGACATCGTGAACTTTGTCTCCCACCGTCCTCTCAAACAATCTTTTTGCCTCTTCCTCCTTCAGCGCATCAAGATGGAAGTCCTTGTCGCAGCCCATTTCCCTTCGCAAAACATCTTGAAATCTTGACGTCAACAACAACTTGCATCCTATGACTTTGTTGTCATATCTGCAAGGAATGCCGACTGATTTTAAGTCGAGCCCCTTCCACAGGTTGTCCAGTATTATGAGGACCTTCTTTTTGCTCCTCTCCTCTTCATCCAACCTCCTGTGTAGAAGTTCCGCTCGCCCGCTGATGGACTCTTTGTCCTTAATCTCACTAAGGCCCAACGCATCGGCAATCTCTCCTTGAATCATCTTGATGTCTGGATTTTCCGACACGTCGGCCTTAGCGACCCAATCAAACGACTTCTCTTTGCTTATAATCCTTTTGACTTCCACCAAAAGGGTGGACTTGCCGACCCCACCCATCCCGTAAACCCCGACTACGCTATTGCTGTTATCGGCAAGAGCGTCCATGATGTCCTGTATGATTTGAGCTCTGGATTCGAAGATGCCATTTCCTGGAGCAGTGACATTTTCTGGAGCAGCATCGCTGAAGGAGATGTCGTTCAATTCCTTGAATCCGCTGCATTCATGAGCGAGTTGCTTAATGACCTTGATCTTGCCCTCGGCCTTCCTGCTGAACTGATAGCGACATTTGGGGTCGGGAAGAGTCCCACAGCAGCAAGTCTTGGTCGCCTTTTCGAAGACGTCCAACAGCTCTCCCGCCTCCTCCAATGCCTTGTCAGCACTTGCCTCCCACGTCGTGAAGACAACGTGGAAGTTCCGAACATTGTTTCTGGCCTGTTCCACAAGAACTTTGACCCTCCGATCCTCGTTCTCCAGATTCCGGACTTCCTCCCGAAGACCGTCGGCGAAGCTCTTGGAGGAGATCACGTATCCGAACCCACGCTCGATGGGAACAAGTACATATCTCTTGAAGACATCCCACGCAATAGCAACGACAGAATCTGCCGACATTTTTTTTTGATTTTTTTTCCCGAAAATGAAAGAGCGAGAAAAGAGAGAGAAAAAGAGGGAGAACGATGAAAAGGAGGAGCAGATACTGAAGAAGAAGAGGAGGCGGAGGAGGAAGAAGAATGGTTGAGACCAGGAGAAGAAAGAGCGAAACAGACGAGAGACGAACAAGGCTAAGAGATTTGAGTGCACAAAAAAAGGATGAAGTCGGAGGGGAGCGACGAATAGCACAATCAATGGAGAACGAAAGAGATGACTATCGGCTCTTAAAGTAAACAACAACGGTTCGACTTAAACCATCGCCCTCGGAATATCTAGAATATAATATAATAAAAGGTAATGGTTAAAGAGACAAGGACTGGCCACACCCACGTGACATGGAGCTCCAACACTTACCACCACATTGTACTGTTTTGACAAAGAGAACACGTGACATGTAACTTTGAACGGTCTGCCATTAACTCAATTTTTAATGTGGACCACAATACCAAGGCAGAAAAGCACAAGTGGACCCTTGGAACTCTCAGAGTACTCGATAAAAAACATGAAGAGGCATCTTTATTCTTTCTCATAATATTAACATTTTTCTTCGATATCAGCATGTGCTCGCTTGCGTGATTTTGAATTTGATTTTGAGATGTATATAACACCTACGACGACTAATTGTAATACCTGGTTGATCAAACATGAAAGCGTTCAGCAATAGAAATTCTGATTGGTGCTAGTAGCATTACCATAACTTCAGACAAACTAAGGTCTAGATGGTTTCAAATATATACATACAACTCGTGCTAAATTGAGGCTAATTTCTTAAAAAAAAAACCCAACTTAAATTTCTTAAAAATCTCAATTTTGCTCCGAATTTTTTTATCTAAAAAACCCCGACTTTCATTCTACTCCCGAATTTTCTCTCGTGTCCAAAAATCCCTATTGATTTCTTCAAAATTATCAACATCAAAAGACTAATATTGTTCTATACGAAAGTGAGGGTGTTGATGAATACGCAAGTTCTGATAATGAACCTCTAATTGGCCCTAATATTCATAATTTTGAAGAAACTAGTGACGATTTTTGGACGCTTGAGCAGATTTGGGACTAGAGTAAAAGTTGGGGTTTTTTTAAAATAAAAAAATTCAAGGTAGAATTGGGACTAAATTTAAAGTTTGGATTTTTTGTTATGAAATTAGGTCCAATAAATTGTGTTTTCTCATGCTACTAAATGTCATATATCATAACACTTGAATAAGACGAAATATGATTTAATATGGATGGTTCTACGGATGTTACTCTCGATATTATTGGTGTGCAAATTCTCCGAGCCCAACAGTTGCCTCTTTAGAGCATGCATACTACCAAAAAAGTGACTCCTTGTAGGGACTTTTTAGGAACATCCTCCACAATTATGTCACTTGTGTTTTTAGTGATAGGGAAGATGGACGGATTGACAATTCTTTTTGACTAAAATGCAATACAATAATATTCTCTACCTGAGAAATTGCTTTTCTAAAGTATGTTAAGATCTTTTACTAGGCAAGTTACTTGCTTGGATTGATCGAATCTCACAGTTTGATTATTTTGATCTCGTGTGAAAACCATAATGTTCAAAATTTGTGGCTGGCCTAAGTAAATTAAAGGCTATTGCATCATCATTATATTTAAGTGTTAGACCGGTTGAGTCATCTGAATAATTTAATCTAACCGATTCTTGGGACGTTGTGGACTGCTCAGGCTTCTAGACCGAGAAGATAGCAGAATAGTATGCACTTAGTGTTTAGGATTCGAACAAGCAACTCCAATTCATGAGCTATCCCCCATGCCCCTATCAATTGCGCAAATTATGGAGTTAAATAAGCATAATTTTGTTTTATAGGGAGTAAGTGTATTTTGCATACAGTGTCATTACTTAAGAAATGACAACGTTAACATAAAATTATCACATTATTAATATTCAATAATCGCAAGATAGAGATGCTAAGTAATATAACGTTATAATTATAGTATCATATGCTAGATATTAATAGTATTGGCCTCAAATCTACTTTGAATATTAAGCTGTCTAAAACTCTCTCTCTCTCTCTCTCTCTCTCTCTCTCTCTCTCTCTCTCTCTCTCTCTCTCTCTCTCTCTCTCTCTCTCTCTCTCTCTCTCTCTCTCTCTCTCTCTCTTAGTTCCACATAACAAACTTACCTATCAAAATTGTTAGGTTGGATATGTCAATCTACCCCTACATCCCTATATGCATTACGAGAGTTTGAAAATTCTGACTAACAAAAACAAATTAAAGTAATGAGGGACACTCTCCTTGTAATTAGATAGAGTAGAAGCTTTATCTAGTTAATAAGGAATTAGCTGATATAAGAATATCATCTTATATGAGTAATCTATCTAGTTAGTAGTGCATAACATTAGCATAGAGGGAGCCTAGGTGGTCACATTTTTTTTAATATATAAAATACATATTCTGGAAAATGTTGACTTATCTTTACTCAACACAAATTTGTTTTCTAGATAGTCACAATGACTTGATCTTCCTAACTAATTTTCAAAGGTTCAGGTGAAATAGAAGGCCCACTAGAGGGAAATTTTCTTTTATAGTCTAGTAAGTTTTATCTGTCCATCCAATGAAGTAATTGAATGGAAGATTAGAGATAAATATAAATATCATCATTGATTATGTGTCAGAGGCCAACTCTACTCACTGTTAAATTTTGTAGCAACCCAAGAAAAAAACATCAAGTCTTCCACTCAAAAGACAAATTGATGGAACCCAAAGAGAGATGGATTGTTTGAGGTAGATGTACTCATAGTTCAAGTAGAATAATTATCGTAAAACTGCCATATGTTTATATGGTTGGGATTTTGTTGATGTCCCTTTGTTCTTGCTCTTTTAAAAATTACTTATTGATATGAGTTTAATGTAATTTCCCCTATTATTCTCAGTGGCAGCATCGGTTGATTAATTTCTTTGATTTTTCTTCTAAGAAAGAAAGAACGAGAAAATGATAGAAGAGGCGGGGGAAGAGGAAGAATGGTTGTGCCAAAGAGAAGAAAGAGCGAAACAAAGCAAGAACGATGAGAGACGAAGAAGGTGAAGAGATTTAAGTGCAAAGGAGGATGAAGGAAGGGTAGCATCAAAACATAGCAACTTTTTGCTGGAAAAGTTGATAATTAGTCTGAGTGGTTGCACGTTGCATGAGGCATGCTGGACCTAACAATCAAACTTTCATGATTTCTTCCATATTTTGCTGCTAAAGATCTAAAAAAAATAACATCACAAATATTATAACTTTTATATGGTGATCACTTAAGTACCATGAATTTATATCGATCACTTTAACATCGTAACTTTTTAAAAATGTTCATCTCAAATACCATGCCATAGCAGATTTTTAGTAATTGAGATGAAAGTCTTAAAAAATTTATATTCAAGTCTATATTTTTTAGATGGAGAGGCCAGTCAATAGACATAAAAAGTAGATGATTTTTCAGCAAAGACCAAAATCACGAGGAAAACGGAGAAGATGGGTACAGACTATGGAGCTCGCTAACCTAAGCTTAGCTAGGCCTCAACAAAACACCGGTCAATTCCTTGGGCATAGAAATGGATGGTTTTCTGCATTATTGTTCCTTCATTGGACCAATCACCGTCACCAATGTCCACATCTCCATCCTTTCCTCCGCCGCTAATGGTGAGATGTTGATGAGTTATCGATCCTTTCATCCTTTGCCACCTTAAATGGTCCTTTCATCCTTTTCCACATTTAATGTCCTAGTCCTTAACCATCCTTTCATCCTTTCCTCCGACGTTAATGGACAAACACCGATTAGGTACTAGTCCAAAATCCGCTCTGTGTGGATCAATGAAATCATGTTTAAAATATACAACAACATTATAAGCAAGCAAATTGTTAAATTAGAATGTCATCTACAATTTTTACTTCATATAGAATTGTTAGACCTCAACTTCTAATTAAATTAAACTTCGCCATTCTTTATTAATATTTTAAACCAGTTTACTTTCTTGAATACCGCTACTCTCACGGGACAAAATTTATATACAAAACGATTCGGAGTCACCACTAACATTGTTTTGTGGTCTCTCATTTCGATTGGAGTTTTTCCCTTTTCTTTCAAATGCTTGGTTTTGTTTAGAGTCTTCTGTTTTTAACATTATATTTTTCAAATGTTGGGGTTATCACAAATCGGTTTTGAAAATTTTTCAAAAACATACAATTATTGACGAGTAAAGTTATGTGGGTTTTCATAATTTGTAAACCTAATTTTTGTTTCACTTCTACCTTTTTTCGAAGGACGGAGCATCGAAAAAGAGCAACATTTTGCTGGAAAAGTTTATAATAAACGGCTGAGTTTTAATACTAGCTATCCAGCAATTTAAAAATTTGAGAATGACTCACAAACCCCAAGGAAGAAAGAGGAGATGGGTATGGATGGAGCTACACTTGGGGAATTGAATGGCGAGCAGACTGCGCCACGTCGTCACTGGCCTAAAATTAAAATACAAGGAGACAACGGTTGCCTTCATCAAGATAAGAACAATGACTTTTAAACAATCTATTTTTCTGCATTTGACTGTTCCTTGATCAGCTGCCACCGTTAATGTCCAAGTCTCCACGTCCTTTCTTCCACCGCTCATGGACAACCACCATCTAAAATATCCGAGAGATTGCTTTGATTGACGGTAGTTGTGGGAGAGGGACGGGGAGAGAATGAGAGAGCAATTGAGGATAGCTGTGGGAGCAGAGATATCGCCTTTAACGCGACAAGTCCCTCTTCTAGAAATGGATGGTTTTTCCGTATTATTACTATTCGTTTACTTGACCTGTCACCATCACCAATGTCTATATCCACATCTTTTCGTCCATTGCTACTGGGCAAACATTTAGGCATCTTCATGAATGTATGACAATTGACCTGGTGCTTTCCCACTTCACCCCTCCCGAGGCAACGATCAATTAAGTAAAAAAGTCTTCGATTGTCAAGCTCGAACTGAAAAACTCTCTTGATGAGGCCCAAATGAACAAACTTTTCCTTCACTTCAATTAACCCTTAATTGCGTGAGGAGTTGTGATGTCCCATTAAAAGTTTAAGAGATGGGCAATCTAGATGATTTACCATTGTAGAGATTACATATTGAATAGCAGTTTTTGATAATGTTCTCCTTATTGAAATATTTGATTTGGGCTAACTTAGACCCTTATGTCTAACTAATATTAACCATTAACTGAAAACAAGTCTTGACCTTTCATGTACTATGTTTCGCAGATGTGTTGACAGAAAGCGTGTC